ATCATGGTTCAAATTGATTAGGTCAGCATAGATAAAACCAAAACCTGAAATTGTTTTTTGCATAAAGAAGAGCATCAAAGTTCGATGAATGACGGCTACTCAAAGGGCCCAAGTAATTGACATCCATTGAAGAATCTTCATTTCATACTAAACGTTTTATTTGTTCTTAAAAAAAAGATAAACCTCATCACTACTATTGTTTTTTTTATCTTTTTCAACTCCTTCACTTGTGCTCTCTAGATTAAATTCAACTAGGTGGACGGCGCGCACGCCTGTGCGGATATTAATATAATCTATATATTACATAAATAAAAAATAATATAAATATATAAATATATTATAATTTTCTTTCGCTTTTACATAGATACTCTGTTTTTTAATATATTTTCTATTTTACTCATTTCGTTTCTCCTTGTATTTTTTCACACATTCGTTTTTTTTCTTATGTATCTTTCTTTGTATTATTTTTGTATATCTTTGTACACCTCTCTCGCTCTTTTTCTCTTTCTCTCTCTCTTAGTTGATAAAATAATTTCAAATCTCTCAAACTTACATTCACTTTCTCACTATCATCTATATTCATTCTCTTACCCTCGTCCTTAATATGATCATCAATATTTCATTTAAAAACTCTTTCTATCTCTTTTTGGTCAAATTTTTTACCGGATTTTGTTAAATCTTCTAAACACTTTGACATAGTATTAATAAATGATTTCAGAATGTATCTCACTTATATTTTTTTTCATCTTCATTATGATCATAACCGACTCTCTAATCCTTATCATCACCATATCTCTCTCTCTTTCTCTCTTTCTTACATATTTTTTTATTTAGAATTTAATATAAAATCACAATGACTAACCAAATAAATTCATTGTCAGATTCTCTCCAATCTTTACACTATCTTATCAAACATCGATTCCTTAATTACTTCATTACATACATATTTTAAGTAAATCTAAATAAGTGTATTTCAAAAAAGTAAATTTGATTAAATAATTATATAACATAAAATATCTTAATTCTTAAATGATGTGATGTCATTATTTTAGACATAGATTAATATAAACATGAGATTCAACAGTTTTAATATATCAAAATAACATGTTTCTAGTTGTATAAATTTTGTTATAACTTTTTTATCATATATTTTTAAAGTTTATTACACTGCAAAAAAATAATTATCATTATTTTAAAATAATTTATTTTAAAATTAATTTACGTTATATTTTGCATCTTCAACATTAAAATTTTTCTAACTTATCATTTATATTTATCTTCCTTGCTCAATTTTTCCTTATGTTGTATAAACACCTGAAAATAATTAGTTTACAATTATATTAATACGTAAAAAATATTTTGGTATACAAATAAAAAAATTATGTATGTACAAATACAAAATAGCGAAGAATACAACAAAAGGTTTTATTATTGTTCCCTCATGTTTTTATTTATGTCTCTTTTCTTTTTTTCTTATTAAAAATAGACATGCCAATTTTATTATACTTAAAGCTATATGAATTATATGAATAGAATATTAACTCTAATCTTGTATTAATATGATGTTTTGATTTTTTGTAATTTTATATTATAATAAACTTTTTATTTATGCATATTTTTTAAAATGACATACCATATAATTTTCTGTTAAATATAAAAATACTTAAATAATTTTTGAAAGTGATAACTCAACTATACTATCGACATTTATCTCTGGAAAATGATAGATTTTTAAATTTTTTTTACATTTGACTGTTTTGCATTCATTGAACATATTTTAAGAATACATATATATAGTGAGTGAGTGTAAAAAATATTATTAGTTTTCTGTAATGTATGATTTTTTATCCACTATTAATAGAAAAAAATTAAAATCGTTTATATACTTATTTCTATAATATAATATGTATTTATATGTATATTCTAAATTTTTATAATGGAATATGTGATATTTAATTTTTTCTATAAACAAATTCTATTAATCCTATGTATTTAAGATGGTTAATTGTTTGTTTGGTAATATATATTAGATTAGGTAATTCTAGAATTAGTTTCCTTTTAAAAAACTTTAATTAAATAAATAAAAATTCAAATGTCAACAACCAATCAAATTAAGAGAATTAATTCTACATTGCACCTATGAATGACACGTAAGCAAAATTTATTAAAGTGACTTCTCTTTTAATATATAGAGGGATTATAATAGCCGCCATATAAATATTTCCTATAATGAAAGAAACTTTAGAGAAGAAAAAAAACGATTATTTAATCAATGTTTCCAAGATTTAGATGCTTAGCTACATGTTTTTGTTTTGTTTAAATTAATCAGATTTACAATTGGTTATAATGATCATGTAGATCAATAAATGTGTGACCTCATTAAAAATCTTCATGTCCAACTATGGACACACTAATCTGCATGGCACATGCAATTATATATTCACTTTAATTACCCGCCATATAATATATATCCTATCATCTAAGAAGCTTTAGAGAAGAAAAAGTGATCATTCAATCAATGTTGTCCATGATTTAGCTACATGTTTTTGTTTGGTGTGAACTAATCAGATTTACCATTGGTTATAATGATCATGTAGATCAATAATAGGGCATGTCCAACTATGGGCACCACTAAGCTACATTCATTCTGGTATGTAGATATATGCTTGGTATCATTGATCAACACAGACGCTGATGACTTGTAGTTTTGTCCTAGAACTTGTCAAGAAAAATAGTATATTCATATTTTACCAGGCCAGCCGTCTGAACTGCTCTTTTGCAAAAAGTTAAAGGCTCGAAAATTTTAATCTTAAAGGGGATGAATCTGTGAACTTTTTGGTTGATTTTACAAACAAAAAGAGGAATATTGTAGTTAACATATCCCATGTGGTACCCATATACTAATATATATCAAATCATTAACAAGTTACTTCCCGTGGTAAAGAAACTCAAAGTAAATTTGGCTACTTATGCCTTAGTATATAGTGTACTTTCTTTGACTTTTCACCATCACAGAACACCCCAACATTGATGATGCATGAAATATTATTGTCCGGACGTGTAATCTAAAGGTCCTGGCCATGTTTTGTGGATCATATCTATGAAGACAAATAAAGAACCAATCCTTGAGTTGATCTTCAATCCCACACCTCTTGTGTCCCTTTCTTCCTTTCTCTTCTCAATTTCTCAAGCTCTTTTTTGCTTCTCTTGACACATATTCAACTCTATAAATCTCATACTCTTATTATTCTCCAAGCTTCAACTAATAAAACAAAAAAGGTATGTAGTTTCTTACATTATTTTCTCTTTGCAAAACTGTTGTGACTATTAGTTCACTAATTAAAGATTCTTATAAGTTGTTACTCTGTTATCTTTGTAGTAAGTAGGTGAATTATCAATGGAGAAAAACATCAAGAGATATGAGGTATGGAGATCTTTGCGAGATGGAGATTTTCAAGAAGATGATGTGTGGGATGTTCTTGATGGGTATCATCAACCATCGTTGATGATCAGCAACCATACAAGTAAACCCTCTTTCTCAACCCAAAGTTTTCTTTCAAGCGAGCCTAGAATGATTCCAGAGAGGCAGAGCATAGAAGGAATGGTGCCTATGAGACAACACTCGGCTCCTGTCAATGTTCCTGATCAATGGTCAATGGTTCACATGATGAAGACAGAGAAAGTAGATGATGATGACGAGGATGATGATGATGATAATGTATCACCTGAAGAGTATTTTATGAGGCGAAGTCGATCATCATCTTCCTCGGTTATGGAAGGAGTTGGAAGAACATTAAAAGGAAGAGACCTAAGCAAAGTCAGAAATGCAATATTGAAGAAAACTGGATTTCTTGAATAAAGAATGATTGTAGATTATATATGTTTAAATATTGCATAAACCGAATGTTTTATATAATATATATTCACTGTCATTAGGAAAAATGTTTTTTTCTTAATTAGAAGTTTCTTATGAATCTAGTTTGGTAAGATGTATGGATGTATATATGTAATTGGCATAATAAAACAAATGTCTTTTTTTTTTTAAACACTATAAATAAAACAAATGTCTATTATTGTTGAAACTGATGATGTCATGTAAGGTTTTAAAAAGATCTGACTAAGCAAAAAGACTTCCATGTAATAAAGACATGATATGAGCTTTAGGATTCATTGAACCACACGATTCGAACCGTCAATGAAAGCGATATTCAAACTGCTAATGACAGTAGCTAAACAAACAAAAAACGCTTATAGATTTTTCTATATTAACCAAACATATTATGTTATGTTTTTTTATTTTTTGGAACACTCATATACTGTCTGTATGAGGAAAAATTAGAGGTGAGTTGTAGTAAGAGGAAAGCATTGATTGATTGAGAGGTTCACGTGGTGCACACGTGGGTCGATGTTGATTCCATATTTTGTCGCCATTTTATGACAGGAACATGTGAACGGGAAATTCGATTAAACTTCAAAATCAAAACATCATCTTTCATGTTAGAGTACTTTTTACTACAACTTTTACAGAAAACACACACATTTATGTAATAACAAGACAAAAAGATTGCAGATGGAAAGATTGTATAACTCTCTACATTGAGATTTTATCTTCTTTCTTTCTTTTTGACTATTGTTCGTTTCTCAATTTAGTGGTCAATGTCGGTAGCTTCAGTTACTTTTTAAATGTCTAATCTCCTTTGATACTATTATTATTGATTACTGTAAAGTGAAAGCTTAACTAATGGTACTATTAGTTAAACAATCACACAACACAAATAAGATTCCCCATTCATCTTCTTTCCTCTTCTTCAATCTTTTCATAGGATCTATCAAACATCACAATCTCTAACCTTTCTCCGTTTCTATCTCCGTCTCCTATGAGAAAATAAAAAAAAGACTCCATCTTCTGAATCTGAAAAAAAAACAACTGGAGATTTGGAGTTGACTCAGGGGAGAGAGTCGTGTCGTGTTCTTATGGTTTTACTTAGAAACACAACAAAATGTCAATGAAGCATCATCACCATAGAGGAGTAGAGATGTCTGCTTCCAAGAGTTTTGTCTCAAAGAAATGGACTTTCTTCCTCTGTCTCGGTTTCTTCTGCGCGGGAACTCTCTTCTCCGACAGGTAATAAACAGAATCTATGTTCTGTTAATTTAACTAACTCTCCTCTGTTTTACGAAATTTCCGGTAAAAAATTGCTACTTTTATCTTAAAAAGAAAGGAAAAATATATATATAAAGAAAAAAAAGTATAAGACTTTTACGTTACTACAGCCTGAGATGCATTTTATAGACAAACATGCTTGAGATGCATTTGTAGTTTCTAGACCGAAGAACTAATATCAATCGTTGCCCCCACATTTTTCTTCTGTGTTAGTATGTGGCCAGAGCCTGAAGCCAATGTTGTATCAAGGGAAGCAGCATCAGATGAACGTTTGCATTTAGTGTCAGAGGATTGTGATTCATCAAAAGTAAGTTTAAGTGAACTTGATTGTGATTCATGAACCCTTAGAAGGATTTTCTTGATTCTGTATTGTTCATAAGCATTCTTGTCATGTGTGTATTCACAAGGGTGTGAAGCAAGAATCAAAAGACAGACTTGGAGAAGTCTACAAGAGTCCTGATGCTATTCAGTAAGTGATATGAAACTTCACTTTCGTCCTACTTTTTTTTGGTATTAAGCTTGAATGAGTGTTGAACAGAACGCTAGACAAAACGATCTCAACTCTGGAAATAGAGTTAGCAGCTGCAAGAGCCGCGCAAGAATCCATCATGAATGGTTCACCAGTCTCTGATGAGTTTAACCTCCCTGAAACTATAACCAAAAGAAAGTATCTGATGGTTGTTGGGATCAACACTGCGTTTAACAGCAGAAAGCGTAGAGATTCAGTCCGTGCTACTTGGATGCCTCCTGGTAATGTTGATCTAATCCCACAGGTTTCATCCTCAAGTGTATATTGTTTGGGACTGAACATAGATGATCTTATATTAGGTAAGGAGAGAAAGAAGCTAGAGGAAGAGAAAGGGATCGTAATGCGTTTTGTAATAGGCCATAGGTAGCACCTTAGAGTGTCACATATAGCGAGGTTGATTCATGTATATAATATGAGTGTTTTCTTTGTGTGTGCAGCGCTACTCCTGGTGGTATTCTTGATAGAGCGATTCAGGCTGAAGATAGTAAACATGGAGACTTCTTGAGACTGGTAAGGAGTTTTGCTAACTCTCTACTTGTTGTAGATGTGTTCTTCATGGCTTTCTGTTTTGAGCAGGATCACGTTGAAGGTTATCTAGAGCTGTCAGCAAAGACTAAAACTTACTTCACCACGGCTTTTGCATTGTGGGATGCAGACTTCTACGTGAAAGTGGATGATGATGTTCATGTCAATATAGGTGAGAGAGAGAGAGACTAAACTCTCTTTTACTTCATCTGAATCTTGTCATCTCACTTCTGTTACGGATGTTTCTGCAGCCACTCTCGGTGCAGAGTTAGCAAGATACCGTATGAAGCCTCGAGTCTACATTGGTTGCATGAAGTCTGGACCCGTTCTTGCTCAGAAGTAAGCTCTTCACCTCTTTTCAAGAGACTTACTATAATAATAATCTTATTACCAATGTTTGTCTTGTCTCCATGAAGAGGAGTGAGATATCATGAACCTGAGTACTGGAAGTTTGGAGAAGAAGGTAACAAGTACTTTCGCCACGCCACTGGTCAGCTCTACGCAATTTCAAGGGAGTTAGCATCTTACATATCTATAAACAAGTGAGTTCTTTCTCAAAAAAAAAAAACTAATCTGCTTTGTGTGCTTATTATTATAGAATCATGACGTTGACTGTGTTTGTATACAGAAACGTACTTCACAAGTATGTGAATGAGGATGTGTCTTTAGGATCATGGTTTCTTGGATTAGATGTGGAGCATGTAGATGACCGTAGGTTGTGTTGTGGTACAACAGGTAAAAAAGATTAAAGTTCAAGTGGGATTTTATCTGTTTCCATGTATTGATGAGTGTGAGAAACTTGCAGATTGTGAGTGGAAAGCACAGGCGGGGAACATGTGTGTTGCATCGTTTGATTGGAGCTGCAGTGGGATTTGTAGATCAGCGGATAGGATGAAGGATGTTCATAGGAGGTGTGGAGAAGGTCATAATGCTCTCATGGCTGCATCATTCTAAAACAAGAAAACAGAAGAAGAGTACACAAAGACAAATCTGCTCAACAGTTTGTAGTATAGACACACACAGACACACACTTCTCTATGTATGTTTGTATCTTTTGAACTGACATGAGAAGGGTGCTTTTCTACCCTCCTTTCTTATTTCTTTATTATTATTCTTTTTTCATTTCTTTGTTAAGGGTTGGAGTTGTTAGCACACAGTAAAATGCAATTTGTAGCTGCTAAACTCAAGAGTCATTGCATTTGGCGTTTTCTTTGCCTTTATACTTAAAAACATTCAAGTTTTGAGTTTTGCTTCTTACTGCCATCAAGGAATTTGCTTCTTTTGTAGTTTGCTATGATTGTAGTTAAGCTTCCAAGTTCCGACGACGTCGTTTCCTCATAGAATAAGTTTTGAACTGGACTTGTGAACTCTTAACAAGTACAATGATGGGCCAAAGTTTTAATTTGACTCATATGACGCTCTTCTAGCTTTCTCTTGTTGAGAGCATTGAAATGACTGTAACAACTGATAATAATGATTTTTTCGTTTTATTTCATTAGTCACGTGTTTAGCGTTTGTTCATGAACGGATGATGATAATCTGAAGAATCCTGGTTGCATGGAAGTGATTGGGTTTGGTAATGAAAGGTGGACGTACAAAAGGTAGAGATTGCCAGGTAATGGAGCACGTACCATTTATGTGGTTCAAGAATTAGATTCCGAATCTTCAATTATTTTTTCGCTTCATTTGTTTTTAGTTTAACTGTAATTTTCAATGACATAAAGAAACAAAAACACCGTCCAAAATAAAAATATAGTTTAAAACTATAACCAAATAGTGCTAGTGATTGATTTGGGGTACAACATAAATCAGTATGTTATGAATTCGATTTCTATTAGAAACAAAGTTTTTTTTTTGAGAAAATTTTTAAATCCAATTTCTATTTGAAACAAAGTTGTTGCTATTTGATTGATTTAGGCTTAGATTTTGATTCATTCAGTTTACATAGTAGTTTATTAGTAATAGTATTGTTTTTTTTTTGTCAATTTGGACCAAAATCTTCAGACTGAAGTAAAGAAGAGTCGAATCCCTAATGCCAGAGTCCGAAGGCAGAGATCAGTTGCTATTAGACTACGAACAATCCGGCAGTAATAGTATTGTTAAGTGTAGGTTTTATAATACAGTTTAAAGTGATCCAATCATACATAAAATCTTCATAAAACATATAAAACTGGACTGTAGAATCGGTTTTAATATTTTCATAATTTATGGTACTATAATTATCTAACTTAAAAAAAAAATTCACCAAAAAGGCATAAAAAACTTTATATTCTTTAAAATATTATTTGCATAGTGATTTTGACACATATCTTCTGCATAATCAATTAAAATGACATAACTTACTAAAATTAATTATATTTCTTATAGTTAAATGTGACATGACAATTATATTTAACACTAATTTGTATTTCTGATAAACTTTTTAGAGTATGGTAATAATTTATATATAATTATTAACATTGATCTATACAAAAATGAAATTAAATAATGTAATAATAAAAGTATATAATATTATGAATATTGAAATATTATTTACATTTATTTTTATAATCATAATTTTTTATCGATAATCAAGATTTTCAAAACTTTATACAATATTTTAAAAATTATAAATTTTTACTCATTCTATTATTTATTTATTTTATATCTATTGTTTTATTACTGCACATGATTTAAGAAAATTATGTTTAATTTTAAATATATACATATTTATTCTTACATACTCCCTCCATTTCTTAATGTATTATGTTTTAATGAGTTTTTGATGTTTTAATAAGTATGATATTTTCATTTTCTATGTAACTTTTAATTCTATTAAAAGTTATTTATTTATTTTTTAATTGGTTGAATAATTTGTATTTATATTTAATAATATTTTTTGGAGCAAAAATATTTTTTTTTAGTAGTTGTGCATATGTATAAAACTTCAGATATTAAGAAATAGATGGAGTAGTATATAGCCAATAGTAGTTTGTTATTTATTTTGTAATTGGTTGAGTAATTTTTATTTTTATTTCCATAAAAAAAATTTAGACAGAAAATAATTTTTGTAGTAGTTGTGTATATGTATATGTCTAAATTTCAGATATTATCAAATATAGGGAGTAGTATAGTTTAAGGTATTTTTTTTTTTACGTTTTTAACTAAATTCAATTTTATATTAAAATGTTAATATACAAATTTATAAATGTAAAATACTAATCCCTATATTTTATTTTAGTTATCATTTCAGGTTTCTACAGAAAATATTTAATTTAACATATTTACAAAATAAAAACATCATTATCTACACAGTTAACCATATTCAACTAATGGAAAAATAGAAAGACATATAAAATTAATAACTTTTGTATTAAAATTGTAAAATGACATTTATTTGATAGCAAAATTTTACTGTACAATAATAAATAGATTGAAAGAGATAGTAATAAATTTTACTGTACAATAATAAATAGATTGAAAGAGATAGTAATAAATTTTACTCTACATGGCTTAAAAGATAGTTGGAATCCACGTAAAAGACAAAAGTTAATATAAATGAAATAGATTCGTGTCGTATCTGGTCTCTGCTTCTCATCACTCGTCTCCTATTTATTTAAAGCCATTCCATTTCCCAAAACACACCACACTCTCACCCAAAAAAAAAGGGAAACTTACATCCAAAGATCTCTCCTTTTCTCATTGAATCCTCAAGTTTGTATCCCTCCTCTCCGCCGTAGATTCAGCTGTTTTGAGGGTCGGTTTCACTTTCCGTTCATCTTCTCCAGCGATCGATTTTCAGCAATCACACGGGATCACTCGGGGTGTTATTAGCTCTCACGTCTATATTGTCCGACGCAAAGGGGTTGTTTAATCGAGTCTACTAATCCTCTCTTTCTTTTTCCCTTAGGTTTTAGGGTTCTTAGATTTATTTTTATTTCCTTTTGTTTGCGTGTGAGGCAAGTCTTCCTTTTGCTTTTGTTTTACCCAAAAAAAGGTATTTTCTTTTGCTATTCGTTGTGAGAATGTTGAAAGTCAAGAGGATTTCTACCATCGTGTCTAATTACAAGAAGGATGACTCTGCTGATGTTTCTGTCGGTTGTGGTCGGAACTGCCTCGGAGCCTGCTGTCTTAACGGTACGCGTTAATGCTGAATCATTTATTTTTATTTTTTTTTGGTAAACAAAAAAAGATAGGTTTCACCTCTTTGCCTATTGACAATCTTTTACCACTAGACTGATTTTTCTTGTTTAAATTCATCTAATTTATTTGGTTTGTTCAGGGGCAAAGCTTCCGTTGTACATCTGCAAGAAGCTGAAAAACTCCAACACCGGAGAGAAAGTGGTTGCCAACAATGAAGCTAGAGAGCCTCCGGTGACTTTCCTCGAGTCCCTTGTCCTTGGCGAGGTAAAGAGAGATTCAAGTTTTTGTCATTATGCTGCTTGAATGAACTATCAGAAGTTCATACCAGTTCTTATGTTTTTTAGTGGGAGGATAGGTTCCAAAGAGGACTCTTTCGCTACGATCTCACTGCCTGTGAAACCAAAGTACATGTCTCTTTCTCTTACCTCTGTGGAGCCAATCTGGTGTTTCTCATTGTTATTAAGATTGTTGTTGTTTAGGTCATCCCGGGGAAGTATGGCTTTGTTGCTCAGTTTAATGAGTGTCGTCACCTAAAGAGACCAACCGAGTTCCGTGTAGATAAAGTTTTGCAGTCTTTTGATGACAACAAGTTCAACTTCACTAAAGTTGGTCAAGAAGAGTTGCTTTTCCAGTTTGAAGCTGGTGAAGATGATGAAGAAGCTAAGTTCTTCCCTTGCATGCCTCTTGACCCTGAGAATTCTCCTAATGTTGTTGCCATCAATGTAACTAAAGAGATTGAATTGCTTCTTTAGTTTGGTTTGTTGTGTAGCTCAGAGATTAATTCTTGTTGTTATTGTTTATATAACAGGTTAGTCCGATTGAGTATGGACATGTGCTGTTACTTCCTCGTGTTCTTGACTGCTTACCTCAAAGAATCGATCACAAGAGCATGTTGCTTGCATTTCACATGGCTTCTGAGGCTGCGAATCCTAACTTCAGAGTTGGTTACAACAGTCTTGGTGCTTTTGCCACTATCAACCATCTTCACTTTCAGGCGTATTACTTTGCCATGCCTTTCCCATTAGAGAAAGCTTCTTCCAAGAAGATGATAACCACTGATAAGAAAGTGGAAATCTCAGAGGTTCTAAACTACCCTATGAGAGGTCTTCTCTTTGAAGGTGGAAACTCTATGCAAGACCTATCTGATACTGTATCAGATATCTGCGTTTGCCTTCAGAACAACAACATTCCTTTCAATATTCTCATCTCTGATTGTGGAAGAAAGATCTTCTTGATGCTTCAGGTATAATGATAATAACCTTTAGCTGACAAACCTTTTGATCATTACTGGTTTTAGGATCCATTAACAGTTTAAATATGTTATTTGCAGTGTTTTGCAGAGAGACAGGCTTTAGGTGAAGTAAGCACCGAGGTGTTGGATACTCAAGTGAATCCAGCTGTGTGGGAGGTAAGTGGTCACATGGTGCTCAAGAGGAGAGAGGATTACGAAGGAGCTACAGAGGAGAAGATATGGAGGCTCCTTGCGGAAGCTTCTGTGTCAGAGGAAAGGTTTAAGGAGGTTAAGGATCTCATCTTTGATGCCATAAGTTGTAGTAACCAAGAGGAGGAGCTTGAAAGAACCAAAATTCACCAGCAAAACATTAGTGGCAGTGTAAACCAGAAAAGTAACCGATCCAATGGAGGTCCTGTCACATGAAGGGCGCTTCCTCCGAGTGCCTTGTCCTCCAGTGAACAACCGCAGCTTGGTGGGTTTTATGTGTGGTTAGAGTCTAAATATACATAAATAAGCAACCTCTTCGGTAAGTTGCATTTGAAACTTCTTGGTGTGTGTCTGTTCCCAAGACTTTCTGGCACTTTTTTGTGTAAGTTTAAGTTTTTGATAAATATATGTTCTTCATGAAACGAAATTCTCACAAAAAATTTGTTCCGTCTTTAGTCACAAACTCAAGACGAAGCTTGTTAATTGTTTTTTTATTTACTGGTCAGTTATTATCTGCAATGTTGAGTGTTAAGACTAATGAAATGTACATGAACTTTACATTATCACTTTTAACTGGTTTAGATTTTCAGATAGACAAATAAGATTTTGAGAGTTATAAGCTTCAGATAATGAAGTTAAAGAACACCTTTAAGACCAAATAGTATCATATGATATTAGGATCACAATATCAAACGAACAAGACCAAGAATCAACCAAAAGGTCTTTTAACAGCCATCATGACCATATTAGTTTTCTAAAGATAATGGTCACGCTAAAAAACAAGTCTGCAAATCCTAATTTCACTACTTAACCATTCATATCACACAACCTTATCATAAAAACCCTAAACTCAGATAATTGTCAAGCCATTGCAGCGCCTCCACCACAGCCACCAGTCTGATGGAGCATGGCATCAATCTCATCACCGTCCTCCATATCAAGCTGCAGAAACAAAAGATTAACCATTAAAAAAAAGTGGAAACTTCAAAGGAAAAACAATAGCCTAGTTAGATGGAATGTTTATACCTCATCAGGAGTCTGCTCAGCACGAAGACGACGACCATCAAACAAGAAGGCAATAGCGTTCATGTCCACAGATTGCCTGTCACAGTAAGCATTCATCAGCTTCTTCAGCTGAGTGCTTCTCTTGATCCTAAAGAAAACTTCATTCCCATCCTGTAACCACACAAAACTCACAAAACATGAGTCTGTTCTTGAGCATCATCAATACATTTTGCCAATAAAAGTTAGAAAACTATAATAGTAACCTGAAAAGTCTTAAACTTAAGCACACACTAAATAAAGGATTTAACTTTATGTCAACAGCATAGTTTACAATCGCATGAACATAAGAAAGTTTCAAACTTCACCATATACTAAATAAAGGATTTAACTTTATCTTAAAACAGAACAGTTTACAATCGCATGAACATAATAAAGTTTCAAACTTTACCATATACAAAATAAAGGATTTAACTTTATGTTACAACAGCATAAACATAATAAAGTTTCAAACTTTACACTTAATGAAATTGTAAAAACCTTTCAGCACTACAAACAACTTAAGATCTAAACCCTAGAATTGCCAATAAAAAAAAACAGCAAAAAAAACCGAAAAGACAAAACCCTAATCGCATGTCAGGAAAGGAACGAAAGAGAAGTTTTTTTACCTGACCCTTGACTTTGAGGTTGATGTGAGCTCCTCCATCTCCAGGCTTCTTGTCTTCTTCTTGTGTTGCAGACATCTCCTCCTTCTTTCCAGTGAACGAATTAGTGAGAGAGAGAAACTTCTTCAGATATTATTTATATAAATAAATAAAATTTGATGAATTTGGTTTGCTGTGGATTTGTACTTTGACGCATCGGATTCCTCTTTATCGCTAAAGTGGGAGAATCCGTAGGGCATATCTATCGAACGGTTGAGATTCTCTATATTCTCTTCTTTTTTTTAATTCAACGGTTGAGAGTGCGTTGATATCTTTGTTCATTCAACGTTATCTATTTAACTTGTAATGGGCTTACTTTTCTGGACTGGGCCTAATTTTGTAATTACATATCGTACATTTATTTTCAGTTGCAGATCTTTTCCCCCACTCCTGATCTCACGTGATTTCGCTCTATCCACTCTCCATGATTTTTTTTTTAATTTTTTATTTTAAATCCACTTCTCCATGATTTGTACGCCTTCGAATTCTGTTGATACAGTTAGTTTGATTTGGATAATTTAATTCCTTATATATTATTTGAAGATCTTGTATATAAAACATAGAAGATAACTTCAATGCTTCATCACCTACTCATAATAACAACTAAAGTGATGATTGATTTGTTAGATTTAAGATTTTGGTTTTTAAATTTTAGTTATTGGTTTTTAGTTTTTAATTTTGTAGTAGATTTTGATTTTTATGAAAAGCTTGATTGATGGTTTTAGATTTTGTTTTTAGTTTTTAGATTTTGCTCTTAAAATAATAAAATGAAAAATTATTAATAGTAAAATATTTATTATGAAAAAATAAAATACTATTATCAAAATATACATGAACTTATTATTAAAAATTATTTTAAAATAAGAAATTCAGATATAAAATAAGAACTATCTTGAATCCCATAAAGATGCATAAAATTTGATCTCGAACACTTTCATATAGTGCACGTGAGTGTTATTATGTTTTTCGTCTTCATCTAAATCAGAGTCTTCAGTTGGTCCATTAGCATTTGTATAGTCTGAATCAAAATCATCATCTCATAACCTTGATAACCTAATAAAATTATGTAGCACCATTGTAGCTGCAATATCTATTCTTTTAATATGTATACTAGGTGATTTTCCCGTGCTCATGCACGGGTATGAATATTTATAAAAGTAAAATTTTATAATAACTAACTGATATTTAGTTTTAGTTTTGAATAAACATATGCATAATTTATATTAATAAATATTATATTATTTTAATTATACATATGACTTTTGGATATATTATTGTAGGTTTAATTATTTTTTGGATCAATAGTCGATTTGGTTATCAATTTGGTATATTGGATAACATCTATTTTCGAATTCAGCTATAATAAAACTTTGATTAATTTTCTTATTTTCATTTTGGTTGGTTATTGTCTTAGATATGTATTTATTTTTAGATATGTAAATATATTATAGTTAAATTATGTATAACTTAATATATATTATGCTTAAATTGAAATAAATAATAAGCTGAAGTGTTTGATTCAAAATTAAATAAATGAATATAATGATAATATTTTGAAGTCTCATGCATATATATAAATTCTACAAAAGAATTAAATTGTAGTTGGTTAATATTTTGTTTTTCTTTTTAATATGCTTTGAGTCAACCTCTAATTTATATGTATAAAATAAAATAGATTATTATTATTATTATTATAAAATTATATGTTCTTATTGTAGTTAGATGTTTAATTTTGGATATAAATTAGATTAGTCGAGTCATTCATTTTGTGAGTATATTGAGTTAAATATATTTTTAAATTTAAAATTGAAGTATAAATACTTTTAGTTTTAGTTAAGTCAAATCAAATTAGTTCTATTTATCGCTTAAATATACATGTATTTTTATAATATTTATTTACTCTTTATTTTAGTTAAATCAAATCAAAATTAGTTTTATTTATCGCTTAAATATACATATATTTTCATAATATTTATCAAATAAAGTGTAACTGATAAATTTTTGAATGTTCATGAACATATATAATTTTATTATTTTGAAAATATATTTTATATTATTTAAAAATATATATTAATGGAGATATTATTATTTTGTGAACTTTCCTTTTTAATAAAGTCTTATTATATACATATATTTTCGTTTTTAAATTTGTTTTAAAATTTTAGAATTATTTCCTTTTTATTATATATGTTATTTGGAAAAAGTTAAAAAGGAAACTAAATAAAAAATAATAATCTTAAAATCTACCAATTTTTAAGGGTATCTATGTAATCAACCATCGTGAAAATTAACGTGAGCGCGACACGTAGGAAACTGACTTCTCAAATAATATTATAGAGATTGTATCTTGGCTTATCTCTTAAATCTGTCATTTTCCTTTCCACACACAAAAAATCCTTTCAATAACATCTCGTAGTGAAGAATGTCGCTTGTTAAACATTAATTTATAGCTACTGGGCGGACTAGCTCGGTCGTACTTGCTAGGAAGATATTTTTCCCCTCTATATGGAGTAAGAAATCCAGATCGAAGAGGATAACCAGAATCTCCCAAATAATACTTTCCAAAAAGTGCAATCGGAAATTGATGAGGCCCCTCCATTGCTAGTGCTATAACTTTTCATCATGAGCTTATCCGAAATACCTATATATGCATATGTAAACAACATGTCTATATTGCATATAGCTAAAACATTTATACTCGTGTCATTTTTTCTATTCTAATATTTTCTGAATCTTTCCCCGCAATAGTGGTAGGAACATGTGTACCATCGATTGCACCGGTGAATCTTTTAAAATAAGGCCAATAATTTCTATTGGATTTTAACCTAGGATGAAGTTGTATGAGCTCATATGGACCAGGTCTAAGCAAATGAACCGCCATATTCTCGAAAACACTAACACTTTATGGAAACCCTACATATGGTTTCCTGTGAGTGACCAAATATCATCCCAACATACCTTTGAGTTGCATTTTGAGCACATATGTTATAGAATATTGCAACACTTTCCTCGATCCTTACATTATCAGTCTCTTTCAACTGATAATCCTCCTTGAGGTTTTCACATAACTGAATGTATACCGGTGGATACATTCGGATTATTTTATAGCATTAGACGTTGTGACTATGAAGTAATTCATATACATATCTTCGACCATGTTCTGGATCCAGATTCATTTGTCGCCTTTCTATACTCACATAATAAGGATCGATCAAGGATTCTCCAAAATTAATGCTTCCATCTTCTTCTTCATCATCTTCAAGCATTTGATAAAATGCTTCTTTCTAATGAAACGAAACAAAAAGTAATTTATTAAAATAAATGTATATTATTTGATAAATAAAAACAAAAGAAACAAAAAAATATTCAAAATCAAACATGAATTAAAATCCAAGAAAAGAAAATTATTCAAGAGTTTTAAAGTTTTTATTCAGCTTCTCTGTCGATTCCTATCATTCTTCCGAAATAATTTAATTCTTTCATCATCGTCGGGTAGTTTAGATAAACACGTGCATGTCTCTCATTACTTTGAAGCACAGTCACTGCTCCCCAATACAACGAAGAGTCATATTGAAGACATGAGAGTGTTTGTAATGAGGCAATTGTACGTTCAAGCTTATTATCTTAGGATTGTTCATAAAGTTCTTTTCGTTTCATGTAGATTTCATTTGTCACGAAGTCATATGAAAGCTTTGTTGTTCCTCGTTTACCTGCTGAAGATGAACTACGCGAAGTGTTTTCGTACACCCATTTGGTACTTTGGTTGTAGGAAGACGGTGTTTCGTTTTGGTTTCTTGAATGCACATAGAATCATCTTCTAGATTCACAGTGTCATATTCATTCTCAGTAACCGTCTCAGACTCGGTATTCTGATCCACCCAGAACATGGATAGTATCCATCATCAGTTGAAATGTGTTTGCCTCTAAAAAGTCGATCCAATCTGTCGAGATCAGTGCGGGGTGTACCTGGAACTTTGAAGCATCAGCTATTTCCTAGATTAAAAACAATAAAAGTTACTATAGTTTTCTAATAAAAAAACTGATGGTTATGATGTTCAGATGTTCAAAAATTACCTAAATGCGATTATTCCACCATTCATCATGCATTTCAATAACTTTTGTGGTCTCGTGAAATGTAACTCCAATCATACGGCCCAATCGACGATAAATGTCGTACAACATTTTTATAGAATAAAATTTGTTTTTCAACGGAAGCCATTCTAGATTTTGACATGTTGCTTCTCAAAATGTATTTCTAATTCCCGTTTTACTCTCGTTTTTCAAATGACCAGTACACCAATTTATTTTTTCCATTTCATTTTCATATATTTCAAGAAATATATGAACCATGCTATCATTCCATCGAAATTTTCCCTTTAACATTAATATCGTACATTAATTAGTCAATTAAACAATATAATCAGTAAATTATAAATTATAAATATTTATTTAGTAAATATTAAATAAATACCTCTTTACCATTTTATGATTATTATTTGTGTGTCATACTTATGAGAAGAAACAGTATTAATAGTTAAAGGTTACGGAACTTAATTATAAATAAATAATAATAGACATAAATTATGCCATAGTAATATTTTAGAATAAAAACATAATTCTGCGTATAGACATAAATTTCAGTTTCAGATATAACAATATACTTTATATTACAAACTTGTAAATATAATATATTCTTTCACTTCACTAAAGAGTATATATTTACTCCATCATATTTATTAAAAAAAGATTTGGGTGAACAAAAATTGTTTATCTTTCTCTTTAACATAATTAATCTGTCATGACTATCAACATGTTCGAACCTATAATGTGATGGGAATGAGAACGATAACAAAAGGAAAAACACAAATCGAAGTATTTACAAAAAATATTTTATTGAACTATTGTTTACCTTAACAAAACTCCAAACTACATTAGGAAAAGATAGTGTAACAAAATTCTAAATGCTTAGAAATGTAGAATATTTTTGAGGTTCATGTTTACTCTGCACGTGTGGTTGTGGACTTTGTAGATATTATATAGTAGACTATTTTATAAAATTAGCAATCTATAAAAAAAAAAAAAATCTATATTTTTGTTTTGGTCGTAAGTATTATAAGAAGAAACCATTTGAATAGTGATTTTGGTTTCTAAAAAAGAATTAGTAAGAGGAAACAAAAATCAGATTCCCTAAAAAAATAGGAAATCTAATTGACTAGAGTCGTGATTGGGTCAAAAGTGGTTTCTAGAAAATCTAAAACTAGAAACCAACGTAGAATCTACAAACAATCAAGCTCTAAATGTTATCATCCGCTCACGAACACAACATTAAGCAAAATTTCAGTTCTAATATGTTATAATGTCCATCTTTTAAGAAGATTACATCTAACAAGAAAACCAATCAGTATACCATATAAACCAAAACTTGTCATCAACCAAACAATGTAAGCAATTATTATTATAAATCAACTTAATATAGAGATTCTTTACATATTGTTGCTATACGCTTTCATTAGGCCAACTTAGATACAAAAATGTTTAAATGTAATCTATGAACACATCACGCATAAAGATATTTTCAAATTTACTCCATCTTTTTGTGATATATTTTTACATTTTTTCTCGGATTTGTATCCAACCATAATCAAACATGCAGTTCATGTTAAAATAATCAGTTTATAGAAAATGAATTTATGAATAACAAGTGAAAACAAGAGATGTTATTTGGCGATGAAAATGTGATTTTCGACAAATAACAAGTTTTAATATAATACATTCCAAAATACTAAGATAACTAATATATGTTCTCATCAGAAAGATTAATAATCCAAGTAATTTTTCATGATGATTACATTAAATCAAATGGAATCATCATTAATGAAGGTGATTCACAATAGTATGAGATTTATATTTTCAAAGTGATTCACAATTATATAATAATATAAAGTACAAAGAACCACTTTTGTGATGTTTTATTACACTTTTCTCTGATTCGCATCAAAACATAATCAAACATGCAGCGCATGTTAAACTAATCCGTATACAGAGGATGAATTCAGGAACAACGAGTGAAAATTTAGAAATAGTATTTGAAGATGTAAAAGTAAATTTTGACAAATAACAAATTTTAATACAATACATTCCAAAGTAATAAGTTAATTAATATATGTTCTTATCACAATGATTAACAATCTAAGTAAATTTTCATGATCAATGCATTAATTTAAATGGAACCATCAACAATGAAGATGAATGGTATGAGATTTATAATTTTAAAGCCATTGACAATTACATCATAATAAGAAATACAAGTAACCGTTTTTGTGATGTCTTCTTACATTTTTTTTCTCTGATTTGCATCTAACCCTAATCAATCATGCAATGCTCGTTAAACTAATTAGTATATGGAAAATAAATTCAGGAACAACAACTAAAAACAGAGATGCGATTAGGCAATGAAAAAGTAAAATTTGACAAATAACAAGTTTTGACATAATACATTCCAAAGTGTTAAGTTGACTAATATATGTTCCTTTCACAAAGATTAAAAATCCGAGTAACTTTTCATGATGATTACATTAAATCAAATGAAACTATCATTAATGAAGGTGAATGATAAGAGATTTATAATTTCAAAGTGATTCACAATTACACAATAATTTAAACTACAACAATCATTTTTATGATGCTTTATTAAAAAAAAATTTCTGATTTGCATCCAACTCTAATTAAGCATGTAAGTATATAGAGAAAGAATTCAGAAATATCATAAGAAAACAAATAGAGAATATTTCGCGATGAAAAAGTAAGTTTCGACAATAACAAATTTTAATATAATACATACCAAAATATTAATTTATCTAATATATGTTCTTGTCATAAAGATTAACAATCCAAGTAACTTTTCATGATTACATTAAATCAAATGGAACCATCATCAATGAAAGTGAATGGTATGAAAAATATAATTTCAAAGTGATTCATAATTACATAATAACTCTGTTCTAAAAACGGGCCATTTAGACGCCTAGGCGACCTTTTTTCGCTTCGATTTATGTCAAATCGTTGTAGAAAATCGGTCGTTCGATTTTGGCATGGCATAATAATAATGCCTACAAGGAACCGCTTTATATGGTGTTTTCTTACATCTTTTTCTGATTTGCATCCAGTCCTAATGCACTATGCAGTGTGTGTTAAACTAATCAGTAAATAGATGATAAATTCGAGAACAAGTGAAAAAACAGAGATGATATTTGGCGATGATAAATTAAGTTTCAACAAATAAAATTTTTAACATCATATATTACGTATCAAGTTAACTAATATATATATTCTACCATATACAATGATGATGAAACGAGAATAATTATTTGACCCACTATTTTCTATAATAATGTTTGGGCCATAAACAAAATATTTAATCAAATTAGCCAAAAATCAAAAATCAAAAATCATTCGATTTGATAGATAATTGTATATTTTAAACAGTCAATTATTATTATTTCTTAATATAATATTCTTTATATATTTTTACATAAACTCATTTCATGTAAGGTGCATATCTCATCCTAATTTTCAGTTCTTTCGGTTTGTTTGAAATCAAGTTGAATTAAATCGAATAAAATTTGATTTGGCTTGATAATCGATTGTTTTTTTTTAAAAAATGCAACATGTTAAGAATTCAGATAGAAAATAAAATTTGCTAAATCCAGTAATGAACGAGCTTGATGTTATCCTTATTGAATAGAATCCACACACACACACAAAAATAGTTGAAGAAGATAAAGTTAGTCACGAGCACTTCACAAAAGAAAGGATGATAGATTTCACATAAGAAGTATCACAAAATACTATTTGCTACGGAACATAGAAAGAACTAGGGGTGGGCGTAAGGCGAGTACTTGTCATTTTGCATGTACTTGCGACTTGACTTGCCTTATACGAATAATAAAATTTTCGACTTGTACTTGACTTGTTTAAAACGAGTACTTGCTATTTCGAGTACTTGATCAAAAATAAATGACTTGCAAGTTACTTGCCTTGCTCTATTACTTACTATTTACGAGTACTTGTGAACTATTTACGAGCTTTTACGGAATATTTAAGAACTACGAACTAAATAATATTCTGTTAGAAATAGACATGAAAGTTTGTTTTGTTTATTCTACTTAAAGTAACATGTAAATTACTTTAAACATAATATTTGTTTATATTAAAAAAATTAAAAAAATGCATATTACGGTATATAAACATTGTATAGTGATCACGATAACAAGAATATATTCTCTAAATAAGTAAAAAGTAATAACAAATCATATAACTAAATTTTTAATATTTGTTACTGTGTAATACTTGACTAGATAACGACGAGTATTCAAAGATCAAGATTGGATACAAAATAAGTAACAAATATAAGAAGAGTAGTGAGTATCTATGTTTTGTCCTAAATGCAAGTAAAAGAAAAGACAAATATGAAAAACTAATTAATAGATCATGTAAAAAATAGCAAGTAATGGAATAAGTAACGGGCGGAACGAGTCAAGTACAAAAGATAATAATGATACTTGATACTTGACTTAGTCTTGCAAGTAATGAAAATTATCGCCTTGTTACTTACCTTGACAACACCGAGTACTTGAATTTTCAAGGCGGGTACGAGTCAAGTACCGAGTTTAAGGCGAGTAACGAGTAATAATGCCCAGCCCTAGAAAGAACCAAGTTTTTAGTTGATGACACAAGAAGAAATGTCACGTTCTTTTTTAGCTTCTTTCAAAATCAACATTAACATATCTATTCAGCACAAAATACTATTTGCTACGGAACATATAAAGAACCAAGTTTTTAGTTGATGACACAAGAAGAAATGCCACGTTCTTTTTTAGCTTCTTTCAAAATCAACATTAACATATTCTTTTCTTTTCTATAAATTAAATTAAATTAAATTTAGAAAGTTTCTTTACCCGGATTATGTTAAGTTCTCTAACTATAAATAGAGCTGAAAAAGAAAACAGTTTCAGTTAATAATATTTATCTGCTAGTCTTCCGTGTTATTTGTGATCCCACATCCCCACTTCTCTTTCACCTCACTATTATTTAAACAGCACCGGAGAAATAGAGTCTCCTCATATGCGTTTCTTGTTCTACTTCTAAACAAAAACAGAGAATATCATGGCCGTTTCCTTCCTACCTTATTATTGTCTCATTCTTCCTTTCTTCTCAGCCATTTCCATTACACAAGCAAGTTAGTTTCTTTTTCATTCTCTTTAGATTTGTTATATCGTCTATTCATTCTCATGTTTTGTCTTAAATCACAGGTTCGGGAATGATCGGTGTCAACTACGGTCGAATAGCCAACAATCTCCCATCACCAACAAACGTGGTCACCCTCCTTAAATCACAAGGAATCAACCGTATCAAAATCTACGACACAGACAAGACTGTCCTAACCTCCCTCGCAAACTCCGGAATCAAAGTAGTCGTGTCTCTCCCCAACGAGCTTCTCTCTTCAACCGCTTCCGACCAATCTTTCTCCAACAAATGGGTCCGACACAACATCAGAAAACACTTCCCAAAAACAAAGATAGAAGCTATCGCAGTCGGTAACGAGGTCTTCGTCGATCCTCACAACACGACGTCGTATCTCGTCCCCGCGATGAAGAACATTCACACCTCTCTGGTTAAGTATAAGCTCCACAAGTCTATCAAAATCTCATCTCCGTTCGCTCTCAGCGCGTTGGCTAACTCGTACCCGCCTTCTTCCGGTTCATTTAAACAAGAATTAATCGAACCGGTTATTAAACCGATTCTTGATTTGTTACGTCAAACGTCGTCGTATCTAATGGTAAACGCGTACCCGTTCTTCGCCTACTCAGCGAACGTTGATAAAATCTCATTAGACTACGCTCTCTTCAGAGATAACGTTGGCACTGTTGACTCCGTTAACGGTTTGAGATATAACAGTCTCTTTGACGCTCAACTTGACGCCGTTTATTCCGCCATGTCCGCCGTCGGATTTAACGACGTTAAAGTGATGGTGACGGAGACAGGCTGGCCTTCCGCCGGAGACGAGAACGAGATCGGCGCGAGCGAATCAAACGCGGCGGCGTATAATAACGGACTCGTGAAGAGAGTGTTTAACGGTAACGGAACGCCGTTAAGACCGAATGAGCCGTTAAACGTGTTTTTATTCTCTTTGTTTAACGAGAACCAAAAACCGGGGCCCACTTCCGAGAGAAACTACGGGCTGTTTTACCCAAACGAGGGGAAAGTGTACGACGTTCCGTTCGTCGCAGCGACGTCAACGCCGGTTAACGGTAACGGAGACCAGGTTTTGGGACAGACGTGGTGCGTGTCGAACGGAGACGCGGCGAGGGAGAAGCTCCAAGCGGCTCTTGATTACGCCTGCGGAGAAGGAGGAGCTGACTGCCGTCCGATTCAGCCGGGTGCCACGTGTTATCATCCTAAGTCGTTAGAGGCGCACGCTTCGTTCGCGTTCAACAGTTATTACCAGAGAAACGCGCGTCGTGTTGGCACGTGTTACTTTGGTGGGACTGCTCACGTGGTCACGCAACATCCTCGTACGTGCTTGATCCCTCTTCTGTTTTGTTGACGTGTATAAGATATGGTGATGTTAAGTATTTTTATTTTTTTTTGGTTGGTTGCAGGATACGGGAAATGCGAGTTTCCTACGGAATATTGAGGCGAATTTAGTTAGGGGTGTTTTTTTTTTTTTTTTTTTTTTTTTTTTTTTTTTTTTTTTTTTTTTTTTTTTTTTTTTTTTTTTTTTTTTTTTTTTTTTTTTTTTAAAAAAAAACTGAAATATATTAATCCACCCGTTAAACGGGAATTCAGAAAGTGATTACAAGATCGATTTGAACAAAATATCCCAAAAAAATTTCAAGTTCAAAGCTAGTTTCGCCCACCCACCAAACCCGGCACGTTCCACTAACCCGCTCTCGAACTTTCTAGGATACCGGATACCGTTCTCTACCTTTGATATAACCACGGTTACGTGAGGTTCTCCTCGTTACCTCGGATGCCGGGAATATCCGTGCAATCTCCGGAGTAGCTAGCATCTAGTGAACGCCTCAGAATCTATAATCACCCCTTTGCCGGTAAACGCTCAGATGCTGAAGATGATAGGATTAGAACATAAACCTGTGAAAATCGCTCTAAATCCATCTGCACAATCACCTACAGCGCCGGAAGTCTCCAAAGCCAAACGAACACAAGGAACGGTTGCNAATATCCGTGCAATCTCCGGAGTAGCTAGCATCTAGTGAACGCCTCAGAATCTATAATCACCCCTTTGCCGGTAAACGCTCAGATGCTGAAGATGATAGGATTAGAACATAAACCTGTGAAAATCGCTCTAAATCCATCTGCACAATCACCTACAGCGCCGGAAGTCTCCAAAGCCAAACGAACACAAGGAACGGTTGCCTGGAACCAAAGTGCAAGAAGTCGGGAACGGGAAGGTCGCCGCTAGTGATCAAGAGTGCTCCAAGACCTGCAAGACTATAACTAAGCAACACTACCATGAACACAAGCACACGGTACTGGGATGCATCGCTGAGTCGCCTGATCCACCGAAGAGTCTGAACCCCTCGGACCAGGAAGAGCTAGGACTCCCCGTCAGACGCCTTCTCCGAGAACCGAAGTAAGGTAAGTCTCGACATCAGAAGATGAACCGGTGGAACGGAACAGCTAACATGCAACACATAGCACTAACCCGAGAGAGAGCAAGTCGACAAAGCTCTAAACGGGCAACTGAAAACACTAAGCCGGAAGAGGAGAAAAGATGAACTGAAGGTGACAGAGCCGCACCAAAGGAGCCATGGACGACTGCCTTCGACGCCGCGGCTAGGTAACGCTCCACGAGCCAAAGCCACAAGCCCCAACACCACGTTGACAACAAAGACTTTTAGCCCGCCTCTGAGAAAAAGGAAATCTCCAGAGCGGTCAAGGCGAGGGAAATAAGGACTCGTTCCTCCGAGACACCAAGGCTGGAACAGAAAGAACTACCTCCACACACCACTCACCCACCGTCCAAACAAAGCCAAAGACGACGTCGGAACAACAGATGAGCCAATCACCCCCTCCACTCGCCACCAACCCTACCAGAAGTTGAAAGGACCTCCAGTGAATCCCTAAAAGCCGACTTCACCATCTGAGACGTCGCTCATCTCGCGCCAAACCTCCAAAATTAATTGAAACTACGACGGAGACAGAGCTCCTCTGCAGCGAAGAGTAGAACCGTCGAGCCACAAAGCTCAGAGAATCGAGCAAGGCAGAGAGAGCAAGACGATCGATGGAGAAGCAAAAGAGAAATAAGAGAGATTTAGAGAGGAAGGGGCCTCCGGACACCGGTACGCGCCGTCACGCGCCGTCCAGGCCGGAGGCAAAACGAGATCTGGTTTTGACGCGAGAGAGAAAGAGATAGGGGTGTTCTGACTAAGTTTTATATAGTACTTTGTTTACTAATCTGAAATAGATTTTGATGACTGTACTAGACACATTTCATCTTTCAAATTTTAAACTGGCTGAGTTCTTTTAATTTTAAAGTTTACATCAATGGATGATCCGTGTTTGAATTACTCTTTCAATCTTCACCAAGTTATTTTTTTAACTTCCTTAAAATATAATCCCAAAAAATGTGTACCAACAAACTAGAATTCGTTGTTACTCATAACAAAATAACGAAAATCTTACCAACATTATCGCATCATTGAATTAAAATGTTAAACTCTAGAAAAAACATATAACATGAATTTACGGCCGGCAAGTAGTATAATCCTCCATAGAACTTCTATAAATTAATACTTGATAAATTAATAAATTTTATCGGTTCCAACATGGATCAAAGTAAAATATGACACAAATCGATAAAATAACCATAAAATAATAAGATAATAAATTTTTTAAAAACTCTATGTAAATATATGGTCCCAATATAAACATAAATTAATAATTAATATTTATAAATTTTATATAATTATAATCAATATTTTTCATATTTGATTTTTTTATTATAGTGAAATTTATCTTTATTTTTCTTAATATTTAAAAATAATTTTATATTACTTTTACTTTACAATTAAAATGCCTTTATATTTACAGTATGCACCCAATAATCAAATAAAACTATATAAATTTGGCATCAATAAAGTGTAATCAATAAATATACCGTAAAGTCAATTATTCTTCAGATTTATATATAAAACATACTTTAAAACAAAAGAAATCTAAAAAGTAATTTTTTGTAAATTAATATCTCTATAATTTAATAAAATTTCAAAATCCCAACAATATTAATAATTTATAGAAGTTGTACTGTATTAGTCTTTAATTTATGGAATTTATTTTGTGTTTTTGCTACATGTATTAGTCTTTGATTTTCAGAATTAAAATATATATAAATGGTTCTTTTTATGGAATGAAATATTTACCATGATATCAATAGACACGAGAATCTAATGGCATCAATAGTATTCTATCCCATATCTTATCCTTTTAAACTACTTTGACTCTGATTAATTATATAATAACTGATTAACTGTGTAAAACACTCTACATCACGAAACATGGACACTGTTGTAGAGAGAAATCAACCACTTCTAGTCCCCGTCACCGATACCAAAGACGTTCCAGAACTCCTATCAATTATCCCATCAAATGATCAACAAGTATCAGAATCAGCTAACACTTCACGCTGGTCATTCCTGTTTAAACTCCTTCTCGTCATCGCAACCATCGGTGTTTCCACAGCAGGTCTCGCGTTAATCATATTGATCACACCAACCCCACCAACCGTTCAGATACACTCCATACATATAGCATTCAGTGAACGCCATCTCCCGATATGGTCAGCAACGTTCTCTATCAAAAACCCCAACGAGAAACTCAGCGTAACGTACGAGTCTCCCTCGGTGTGGGTGTTTCACAGGAGAAACAAGGTGGGGAAGATAAGAATCGGGTCGTTTGAGCAGAGAGGCGGGGAAGAGAACGAGGTAGTTGTGAAGGGAGATGAAAGCGGAGTTATCGATGAAGAGGTGGCTAGGGAAATGGAGGAGGATGTGGCGATGACGGGAAGTGTGGTGGGTCTTGATATGGTGTTTCTAGGGAGAGTGGGGTTTTATCCGGTAGCTTCTACTTTATGGGGAAGACAGAACATGACGGCTGTTTGCAAGAACGTGAGGGCTATGTTGTCTACTGATGATGAGAAACTTAATAAGACAAAGAGATGGAGGTTGAGGTTTGATGGTCGACAAGATTGTCGTGTACGTCTTCCTGTGTTTCCTTAGGTTTAGTTGTGGACAGTCGTTGAAATTGATAAATACAATTCGTAGGTGTGTTTGTTGTTACATTTGTTAAGATTGTATGATGATCAATGACTTATGATATGAATTTGACTAATTTATCGGAAACAAATTGGAAGAATTTAATTTTGAAGATATGCTATCATCCTCTTGATACCTATTGGTCAGCAAAGATATTATTTTCTAAATCAAAGATATTATTTTCTAAATCAAGCGTTACAAACAGATAATATTGGTCAACAAAGATGTTTTTTCTTTCTGTTTTTTTTTGGTCAAAGATATCTCTATAATATTATTTGAGAAGTCAGTTTCTTACGTGTTGCGCTCATGTTAACTCTCGCGATGGTTGATTACATAGATACCCTTAATGAATTATTTGATTTTAAGATTATTATTATTATTTTTATTTAGTTTCTTTTTTTTATCTTTTTCCAAATAACATATATAATAAAAAGGAAATATTTTTTAAAAACGAAAATATATGTATGTAATATGACTTTATTAAAAAAGAAAGTTCGCAAAATAGTAATACCCTCATTAATATATATTTTTAAATAACATAAAATATATTTTCAAAATAATAAAAATATATATGTTCATGAACATTTAAAATTTACCAGTTACACTTTATTTTCTAATATTCTTTAGAAATCAACATATGATTTCATAAATATTATGAAATACATGTATATTTAAGCGATAAATAAACTAATTTGATTTGACTTAACTAAAATAAAGAGTAAATAAATATTATGAAAATACATGTATATTTAAGCGATAAATAAAACTAATTTGATTTGACTTAACTAAAATAAAAAGTAATTATACTTCAATTTTAATTTAAAAATATATTTAACTCAATATGCTCCAAAATGAATGACTCGACTAATCTAATTTATATCTAAAATTAATCATCTAACTACAATAAGAACATATAATGTTATAATAATAATAGTGATAATAATAATAATAATAATAATCTATTTAATTTTATACATATAAATTAGAGGTTGACTCAAAGCATATTAAAAAGAAAAAAAAATATTAACCAATAACAGTTTAATTATTTTGTAGAATTTATATATATGCATGAGACTTCAAAATATTATCATTATATTCATTTATGTAATTTTGAATCAAACACTTCAGTTTATTATTTATTTCATTTTAAACACAATATATATTAAGCTATACATAATTTAACTATAATATATTGACATATCTAAGGCAATAACCAATCGAAATGAAAATAAGAAAATAATCAAAGTTTATTATATTTAGAATAAAAAATATTATAACTGAATTCGAAAAACAGATATTATCCAATATACCAAATTGATAACCAAACCGACTATTGATCCAAAAGATAATTTAACAGACAATAATATATCAAAAGTCATAAAATTTATTCAAAACTAAAACTAAATATCAATCAATTATTATAAAATTTTACTTTTATGAATATTTATACCCGTGCATGAGCACGGGAAAATCACCTAGTTAATTTGTAAATCATGAGTTACAAATAGATAGGGGTAGAGAAAAAGACCAAACCGAGTCAAACCGAACAAACCAAACCAAACTAAAGTTTATTATCAAATAGTTCAGTTTGAGATTTGTGCAGCCCGATCTAACCGAACCGAAACCGATCAGAACCAAACACTAAATCAAATGTTTTTGTTATTATTTAAATTAAATATATTAGCAATACACAATATATGAAAATCCCAACACTAAAGTTATTATCAGCTTAATTAATGATGCTGGGTTTTTTTAAATTTTCTATTTAATTAAGTTAACTTTGATTTGATTGTAATCTTATAATTTTTTTTGTGATTTTTTGTGATTTTTGTTTATATTAGATTTAATTTACATAGTTTATTTTTATTTTTATTTATTTTAGTTAACTTTGATTTGATTATGTTCTCATAAATTTTAGTGTGTTTTGTTTTAAGTTTTTATTTTAATTTTATATTCGACTTAATTTACATAGTTTATTTTTCCATAGTCACCAACATAATGATTTCATGGTCATGCTTTTATGTTTTAAAACATGATTTTTCTTCAGAAAAAAACTAAACTAAGGAAATCTGATTAAACCGAACCAAAACACACACCAAACCGGATACGAACCAGATCAAAACCGATCCAAACTAATTATGGTTTACTTTGGTAGACAAATTTTAGAACCGAATTAACCAAACCGAACCGAAACCTTACCAATAAAAAAAGCTAAAGTGCCCACCCTAATATCAACAAAAGTATCGTTGGATTCGCTTCGGCCCAATAATCACACCTACAAGTAGCCCAACACACGTATGTATATCAAGAATCAAGATCAACAATCTTCAGTTTAGAACAAGGACGTTTAGTTATTTGGTAAAGACGTTTTTTTAGACTGATTGGTTTTATGTTTCCGTACAGGATCCGAAGAACAAGAGTGTAGGGAATTGTAATGAAAATACTGAAACGCATTTTGCTTGGGAAGCACGAGTGCATAGAGAGAGATATGGTACTTGTTTGAATAGTTGAGTTACATTGAAATACATTTGGTTTCTGTTCTCTGGATCCAAATCAATTTTTATATTCTTTTATAACCACTTCTTCACTCTCGGACAGTGATCTGATACGTCTCTGTAACATCAAAATAGCATCTTTTAAGTAGTTACACCAACACTTAGAGAAAAGTGGTTCTTGTACAATATTCTGGAACCTTGATCAAAATAAAAGACTAAGAGCATCCACATCAATGAATCCCCTCTTGGGGTTCATTGAATCAATATTTTATTATTAAAATTTTTCTGTTTTTTTTTTGAATTTTTTTTTTTAAAAAAAAAGAAAAAAAAAGACCTAGACCAATCCGGGGCCGACACGTGTTGAACCTTAAGAGAGAGGGGTTCACCCGGGTGAACTTTAGGAGAAAGGGATTCATAGATTTTGGTTATTTTATTATTTTATTTTTTTGGTTTCCGTGTGAACCCCCCATTTAAACTCTCAATGGGGGTGCTCTAAGCAACCTGACTGATCACTGGTACAAGCTACAAAACTGTAAGAACAACGCATCAAAATATTTACTTGAAGAAATAATTTAGGATGTAATGTAATATGTTTGTTGTTAAGTCAAATCAAAATACATATATTTGCTTGCATCTGAACATACGTTTTTCCTCCCACTTTGCCTTGACATTTCTTCTAGTTAGCTTATAAATCTAATCATATATAACATGCTAATTAAGTAAATTAGTACTTATTTAATTACATGTTTGGTCCAAAGATGTGGACTTCGCCTGTCCAAAAACAATACAAGGACGGGTTGACTTTGATTCTAGACGGTTCTCAAATCTCCTGAGTTGCTATATTGACGATAGTACCCTCACAAGCTTACTCCCCAGTCGAGTACCGCTGAGGGTAGTTTCGTAAACAAACACAAATAAAGAACTCTCGTCTCCACAGTAACCACGTCTGTGTGTGTTCTAGAAATAACCATTTCCCTCAAAAACAATTCGATTCGACTATTATACTCTCTCTCTCTTTTTGATCTCTGCCTTGTTTCTCTGTGCATTCTCCTGATGTTGGTTTCGAGAATCCTCTCGCGACTCTCCCGCACCGCGGGCATACGCCCCTCTCTCTCCACCGCCGCCGCTCTTCCGGCGAGGAGCCAAGCTCCTCTACTCTCCTCCCGTTATCACTCCCTCGTTCACGATTTCTCTCTAAAGGTTTGATTTTTAACTCAGATTTATCTTTATTCGTGTCGAATTTCATCTTAGGGTTTTGCTAGGGTTTAAGGGTCTACCCCAATTTCACCTCAATCTAGTGTTTTTAGAATGTTAAGTATCCTCTGAAACTGTTCTTAGTGGTCTCATTTGTTAGGATCTTCCAGTGTATTGATACTATTGCGTTAAGACTCTGTATAGGGTTTTTGCTCTGTTTTGCTATTGATTCACTCTGTTTCAGGGACAGCTTGTTGCAGCTCAGGTGTCTATTGATTCGTCTCCTGTGTATGTGTACAGTGTGCTCTGATACTGTTCTTAGTGATCTCATTTGTTAAGAATCTTCTGTGTATGTATAAAGTGACTTAGATGCTCTCTCTATAGGGTTGTTGCTCTGTTTTGCTATTGATTCACTCTGTTTCAGGGGCAGCTTGTTGCAGCTCAGGCGTCTCTTGATTCATTGCCACTTCAAAGGTTCGCTTTTTCTTCCTCCACCACGCCTGAGTCAAGTGAAAAGGAGAGCAACACTGAGGCCTCGAAGACAAGTGAAAAGGAGGCAGATCTTGACTCAGAATCTACCAAAGATTCTGCGAATAGGAGGAAGAGAGGTGCTAAACGAGTTGTAGTTTCTGAATCAGATTCCGAGAGTGATGATGATGAGGAGATGTCAAGGGAGGATTTGATGAAGCTTGTGGCTGAGAAGGAAGAGATTCTGTCTGAAAAGGAGGATGAGATTAAGCAAATGAAGGATAAAGTTCTTCGCAGTTACGCAGAGATGGAGAATATTATGGATAGAACAAGGCGTGATGCTGAAAACACCAAAAAATATGCCATACAGGTTAGTAGTTTTTACAGCTTTTGTTTCATATAACACTGCGCTGAGAATGTGTGTATCTGCAGAATTTTGCGAAGAGTCTTTTGGATGTGGCGGATAATCTTGGAAGAGCTTCATCGGTTGTCAAAGAAAGCTTCTCTAAGCTTGACGACACGGCCAAAGATTCTGCTGGAGCTGCTCCACTCTTAAAGACACTTTTAGAAGGTGTGGAGATGACTGAGAAACAGCTTGCTGAAGTGTTTAAGAAGTTTGGTATGGAGAAGTATGATCCTATCAACGAGCCGTTTGATCCGAACAGGCATAACGCAGTGTTCCAAGTCCCTGATGCTTCTAAGCCAGAAGGCACTGTTGCTCATGTCTTGAAGGTAAATCTCTCTTTTATTTGTCTCTGTTTTTGTTCTATATTCTATTGTCTTGACACCAATTAGTAACGATGGTGATGTGATATCTGCAGTCTGGATACACGTTATTTGATCGAGTTATAAGACCAGCTGAGGTTGGTGTGACTCAAGGAGGAGAGAGCCAAGAAGACAAGAAAGAGTCTGATGATGCTTGAAACGAAGTCATCTGGTTTTCAGAAGTTTTGCTTACTGTACTTTCTTTTTAATTAACACCCATAGTTTTCTCTTGTCGTTTGGTTATTCATTGGATGAACAAGATAGATCTCCCATAAGTTGCTGGACATGGCACTTGCAGGGGAAGTCCTGCTTCTGTGTGTGTTTTCTGGATCTTCATGGAATCTTGACTTGCACTAAGGGAAGTTATAGCTGTTTTTGAGTTGTTCAGACACAAAATAAGGTTTCACATTGTCTAATACAACCTGAAACTAACCAAAAAGGTCAGAAACTGAGAAGAGAGTGACAAAACCTATTACCTGAGAACACTCTAAAAGAGTCTCAACAAGCTGACTTAACATTTGAAACTTGTAGCCATCTTGAAAGACCCAGTTCTAGCTTCACCGTGACAATATTTCCACTTCCTTTGTTAACTACTGTTAGGTAATGAGTGAGAACTAAGACCACCAATTCTTACATGTCAGAGCTTGTTTGATTCTTAGTGATTCTGTTTTGACTTCGATAAATATATGGCGTATCAATACTGCTCCTGTGCTAGAACCTTCACCTTGTCCAGCTCAGAAGTACCATTAAGACAGAAGCTAATCACCCAGGGCCAGAGAAGATTTCAAAGGCACACAAGACTGCCAGCTAGATTTACTGTAGAAGTTTTGGCTTTAGATGAAGTCTACTGCTGTAGAACATCTGAAGAAGTCACTTGAGTTGCTAACAAATCCATCTGCCAGTCACTGAGTTTCATGTGTGTTAATATGTGTACTAGCTCAAAACCACACCATTGGGTTTATTAAAAAGTCAAGCTTAGACTTTCTGTACATATACAAAGTATTTTGTGAAGGCTTCTTACTAAAACTTCTTTTTTTTTTGCTAGCTCCCTATGCATATAGCCACAAACAATAGAATCTATACCTAAAAATCACAATTACAAAAGATGTTTATCTTCTGCTGTTTGGTACATCATTTTGAAAATAGTCATTTCAATTTATCTTATTACAAATAATGATTTCAAACAATACAAGAAAATTTAACTTAATGCAACAATATGAAAAGAAAATTCAAATTTAATAAAGGTAAAACTATAAAAGAATAACAATGTAGTCGCACAATATTTAATTAACACATGTAAGAATCTGATCAATGAAATAAATGATAACGACTTTGTATACTTTAAGTCCACTGCATGCATGTTTAGTTGTTTACTTCGAGTGAGAAGTTGTTTTTTTTCCGTTCATTGTGCCACTTCTTGATCTCTTTCTTTTGACAAGCTTAGCCTCCTCATCATCGTAAGCCTCCGCAGCCATTTTAGCTGTTGGAAACGTTCCAAGCCATCTCCTTCTTTGCAAACTCGGATCCCATATCTCCGCACACCATTTACCTGATGGTTTATGAAAGAATCTTATCTTCCATATCTATATATATATGAAGACATTGTAACCTTTGTACAATTGTAATGAAAATTATCAATTTTCACTCTTTGTCTAGAATCTAACAGGAAAAAAAAATACTTATTGGAATATATAAATATTTACCTGATGGCTTTTGCCTCACACCTTTGTGCTTCTCTTCCTTCTTTATCTCTTCATGCCGTGGGAATGCGCAACCGTTGCAGCCGGTGACACTGCAGAGAGGACAAGGGCCAGCGTCCAAAGGTTGATCAAGAGTAGATGATGAAGTGTCACCTTGGACGTTAGATATCACTTGTCTCAGAGCAGAAACCATGATGATATGCTCTTGATCCCTTGTAAAACGAGGAGGCTTCTGATTAATATTTTCTGAATGATCCATTTTTTGTGAAGTTGAACTGAAAAATAACTTATTGCTCACGGAGATAAGGTTCCAAATGTGTTAAGGTTTGAAAACAAGCTGACGAGACTAGTGCTTATATACTACAAAGAAGGTGGGATCTTTGTGGTCCTATCAATGTTTAAATCTTTGTGGTCCTATCAATGTATAAACACGGGACATGCACGGACTTGCGTAACATCATTTTTAGATGTTTATTTCTGTAAGCGCGATTACCAAGTTTATTGTACCTGCTTAGTAGTACTAGGTAGAGTATTGACTTTTGTTTTCTGGTCAGCTTTTCATATTGCAGTGTACCGAGTAAACCAATACATTTCTTACACTTGTAACATGTCTTCTCACATCCTGCCATTGTACTGCTAGCGCTTACACATCTGTATTATTTTGTTTTTTTTCTCATAACTTCCTTTCAGTTATGTAGGTCTACTTAACATGTACAGCTTTGTCTTAATGTTTAAAAGTAGTGGTTTTCGTTGGTAACACATATCAGTGTCTAATTCCATTATGTCCAAACAATTTCTTTACATACGTGTTCATATTTTCAGTGCTGACTTTGTTCAAACTTTTCAATGGTTAAGGATCAGTGGCGGAGCCAGTGCTATGGCAAAGGGGTCAAATGACTCATATGATTTTTGTAGAAAAAAAAATAGTTGTATTTTCAAAAATATTTTTGATGAATTTAGCTTAGTGACCCCTATAAAAGACACATATTATCAACTTGACCCCTCTGAAAAGAGTTCTTACCTCCTCCAACACTGTTAAGGATCATTGTTTTCTTTGTAGTCTATTACACCATCAGTCACGATGCATTGATTAATACTAGGACAGAATTAAATATTTCTGATGTTCGGTGTAAAAATATTACTCCATCCTTTTTTATATTTGATATTTTAAAGGAATTTTTCTGTTCTGAAATATATGACATTTTCAATTTTCTATGTAAAATTTATTGATTATTAATGTTATATAACCAATGCAATTATAGTTTCTTTTTATTGTTGGTTGAGTTATGCTTGAATATTTTTTTTAATCTATGTACATAATCATAAAATGTCAAATATATAAAAAACGGAGGGAGTATGAAGCTGGTTGGGTGACTAGTATATTGAAAAAGGGTCATCAATCACCATGCATTTGGTTTATAACCAGGCCCGGTCCAAAGTATGTACTGGAGGTGTATTTGTACAGGATCCATTTGTTTTTACCAAAATCTAGACAAGGATTTAGGGCATTTTTCAGAAAATGAAAACCTTTTTTTACAGATTTTAAAAGGAAAATTTTGCACTAGATCTAATTTAATGTTGAGCCGGGCCTGTCTATAACCACCTTATGTTTAGCAGGTTTATGCTGGTGAATCTTGAGTTGATGTTTTGCAATAGCATATATGCGAAAAGTTCGCAAGCATAATAGATTGGGGATTATTGTTCTTGCTAGCGAGAGATGCAGAAGATTTTTTTTTTTTTTTGTGCAGCTAGTTCGATTACTGCATGCGCCAAGATCTATGCAAGTATCCATGAAGACAAGACAGTTAACTAATAGTAGTACTAGATTTTGATCCGCGCTTAAAAGCGCGGAAATTTTTTATGATTAAAAATTTATATAATTGGGTTTTGTCATAATTTAAATAATATTTTGATATAAAATCAGTTCACCAAAATTTGTGGTGATGAATGTTTTTCATTAGTTTTTAGTTTCAGTTTTTATTTTTAGATTTTGGAATTTGGTTTTTAGTTTCTAAGTTTCTACTTTTCATTTTCAGTTTTTGGTTTGGGTTTTTAATTTTTAAATCCGCTAAGTTAGTTTGAACAAATATTACCAACAAACAAATCTCAAATAATCGAACATCTAACATCAAATTTAAAACTGAAAAGATGAAAACAATTTTTTTAATAAAAAATTGAAATAGTTATTTTGTAAATAAACAAAGCAAAACAATATAATATGTGTTTTGAGCTTTTGGTTTTGGATTTTAGTTTTTAGATTTGGTTTTTTTTTTTGCTTTACATTTTTTAATCAGTAAATTATTTAAGAAAAATAAAAAAATAAATTATTTAAAAGTTACCATTGAAATTTATCAAAAAAGTGATTGTTATTTAAAAAAAAAAAAATATTAACATGTTTTAAAGTACATGATTTAAATAAATGATTAATAATGGATAATTTTGTTTAGTTAAAAATATTAAATACCTTTTGGGTCTGAAAATAATAATTTATTTTTGATCTTTTAAGGTGAAAAGTTTATTGAATGTTTTTGGAGTTTTTTCTTAATACTAAGCACAAAAACCAAACTATATAATTTGTTCAAAAAATAAAAGTAAGCCCAAAACTATATTCCATAAATAACCACTGGTTTAATTTAAGTATAATTAGTAGATTTCCATATTCCATATTTTGATGATATATATTCTTATAGAACATTCCATATTTGTAGGAGAAAATATGTGTTTTTGGTATACACATAGATATCTGCCGTATTTTGAAGGTAGTTTACATTAAGGTCGTCTTTTTACATTAATTTTGTTGGTTTAATTTAAGTAATACGGTTTAATCAATTATATGACTTATATTATTTGTAATATTCTACAAATAGTCCAAATTTAAATGACAACTTGTATCAGTAGATAAAAAGAATGACTCTATTTTAATAGAGTAGATGTCTTGTTGCCTTTCTTTTTTGTATCAGCTTCTTTCACTTATTACCAATTTCAATGCAATTTTACAAAAAGATAATTATTTATTGCCACATTTCTGAGTTACTGCAAATCTTTGTAGTTTCTTGTAAGATTTTATTTACTTGGATTCTACTAAAGGTAACATTAATTGATCGAGGGGTGAAAAATCGGTTAACGAGAAACTTCTGTCTATAGTAGTATGGAATTTGGTCGTGTGAGGTCTATGTTTGTATTGTATTGTATTGTCAAAAATCTGTAAAGTAAAGTTTAAGTTGCAGCAGCTCCATAGATATTTAAATACTAGGTGATTTTCCCGTGCTCTTGCACGGACATAAATATTTGTAAAATAGATATATTATAATAAATGGTTGATATTTACTTTAAATTTTAAATTAATTTATAATTTGTAGGTATAATTTATATTAATAATATTATATTAATTTAATATATAATTTTAGATATGTTATATTTCGTCCGTTTTATTGTTTTTACGGTTGATTTAATTATCATTTGGATATATTAGATTCTATCTATTTCTAGGAATTCAACTGTAATCTTTTTAATTTTAAATATATTAAATTTTTGATTAATTGTCTTATTTGCATTTATGCCAGTTGTTATCTTAGAAATATAAGTATATCTAGTAAGATTATATATAACTTAAGATTTTTGTGATTAGACAGAAAAAAATAAAAACTAAACTGTCTGATTTTAAATTACATACATAAGTACCTAATAAAATTTTGGAAGCTTATGAAAACATATCAATATTTACAATATTTAGATTGATTGGATGGTAAACTGAAATTTATTTTAAATAATTTTAAAATAAGAATTCTAATTTGCTTAAGCATTTTGATTATGGTTATATTAAGTTCCACAAACATAAAAATAGAAAATTAAAAATCAAAAGAGTTATTAAGAAAACATATAAGTTTAACTATTAAAATATAATATATCTACTTCATTAAATTACATAGTGTTATGATGTTCTAAAATCATTGTAGTTATTTGATCAAAAAAAAATTATTATAAAAATTTATTATTAGTTTTGTTTTTAATATCTCTTATAATATGCAGTAAAAATGTTACTGTTTTGTGAAATTATATTATATAACTAAAATAGAATTTATATTTTTGCTATAATTGTGAGATATTATAGTCAAATAAATATACTAAAAATAAAAAAAAAATTTCAAAAATACTAACTACAAAAACTGTCAATTAAACATATATATGTTTATGTTACTTAATTATTTTATGTAATCATCTAATAAAATAGATAGATATATACAAAGAAAATAATTACTTTGAAAATATATATATTTATTTTGTAAAATTAATTTTTAAAGAAAAAATATTTCTTTTTCTAATATCAAGATTACTTGTGTTAACTTTTTTTATGGAATCACATTATATACAAATATTATTTTTCATTATAGAAGATATAGATATAAATTATTTTGTTACTTCAAAAGTATATATATATTATTTAAAATATATTTAAATTAAATATTATTATTTTGTGAATTTTCCTTTTTTATAAAACAATATTTATATATACTTATATTTTTGTTTTTAAATAGTTTTGTAAACTTTATAAATGTTTCCTTTTTATTTTATATTGTTATTTAGAAAAAAATTAAAAGAAAATAATAATATTTAAATATATTTTTTTTAATTCATTAAGGATATCATAGTAATCAACCAGCGTGAGAATTAACGTGAGTGCGACACATAAGAAAGAGACTTCTCAAATAATATTATAGAGATTCTTAGATATGTAAATATATTATAGTTAAATTATGTATAACTTAATATATATTGTGCTTAAATGAAATAAATAATTGATTGATATTTACTATTCGTTTTGAATCAATTTATATGTATAATTTATATTAATAAATATTATATTATTCTAATTATACATATGACTTTGGATATACTCCCTCCGTTTCATATTAAGTGTCGTTGTAGAGAATTTTTTTCATTACAAAATAAGTGTCGTTTTCGATTTTCAATGCAAAATTTATTAATTTTATTATGTAATTTGTTTTTCTATTGGTTAAAATATGGTTAGGTGTATGGGTAACTGTGTTTTTATATAGGAAATATGTAAAATTAATTGTTTTCTTAATCCGTGTGCACAGCTGTAGAGTGACACTTATAATGAAACAGAGGGAGTATTATTACCGGTTTAATTATTTTTTTTATCAATAGTCGGTTTGGTTATCAATTTGGTATATTGGATAATATCTATTTTTTCGAATTCAGCTATAATATCTTTTATTTTAAATATAATATTGTCTTTATATATGTAAATATATTCTTAGATATGTAAATATATTATAGTTAAATTATGTATAGCTTAATATATATATATATATATATATATATATATATATTCTGCTTAAAATGAAATTAATAATAAGCTGAAGTGTTTGATTCAAAATTAAATAAATGAATATAATGATAATATTTTGAAGTCTCATGCATATATATATTCTAAAAAGAATTAAATTGTAATTGGTTAATATTTTGTTTTTCTTTTTAATATGCTTTAAGTCAACCCATAATTTATATGTATAAAACTAAATAGATTATTAATATTATTATTATTATTATAAAATTATATGTTCTTATTGTAGTTAGATGATTAATTTTGGATATAAATTAGATTATTCGAGTCATTCATTTTGTGAGTATATTGAATATAATATATTTTAAAATTAAAATTGAAGAATAATTACTTTTTATTTTAGTTAAGTCAAATCAAATTAGTTTTATTTATCTCTTAAATATACATGTATTTTCATAATATTTATTTGCTATTTATTTTATTTAAGTCAAATCAAATTAGTTTTATTTATCGCTTAAATATACATGTATTTTCATAATATTTATCAAATTATATGTTGATTTCTAAAAAATATTAGAAAATAAAGTGCAACTGATAAGTTTTTGGATGTTCATGAACACATATATTTTTATTATTTTTAAAATATATTTTATGTTATTTTAAAATATATATTAATGGGGTATTACTATTTTGTGAACTTTCCTTTTTAATAAAGTCATATTATATACATTTATTTTCGTTTTTAAAATTTGTTCTAAAATTTTAGAAATATTTCTTTTTTATTATATATGTTATTTGGAAAAAGGTAAAAACAAACTAAATAAAAAAAATCATAATCTTAAAATCTAACAATTCATTAAGGGTATATATGTAATCAACCATTGCGAGAGTTAACGTGAGCACACCACGTAAGAAATTGACTTCTCAAATAATATTATAGAGACTACATCAAATTATCCATAAATATTTGTAAAATTACTTTAACATTTAAACTATATATTTTAACATCATATCAAATAGTCCATAAATATTTTTTAATGAAGAGAACATTTTAAACTAAACTAAAACCGTCCGTCTCAGTATTACCTTTACGACAGCAGCTATCGGCCAGGGGCAGTGCCATAGAAAATTGCAAAGTTACATAAAAGCTGCTAGATTTGCTGTAGGAGCTTGGGCTTTCGTTGAAATCTCAACTGCTGTAGATAGGTTTGTTTATTAACTTTTGGACTCAGAATTTATGTTCAAATGCAAAAATATTGTGTCAAGTTTCTGACTCTTCAAACTAATGTAGTAATGTTTTTTTCTGCAAACTAAAGCTCCCTCCATGTTTATCTTAGGGTTAATTCGATGAATGACTATATTGGGAAAAATATTAGATTTGTAGTAAGAGTGTAGAAAGAGAAAAGATAATAATGGAGGTAATATCGTTAGTTAGTGAAAATATAGTTTTTTTTTGTTATATGATCAAATTTCCCTTTATCTTATTACAAATAATGAAATTTCAAACAATACAACCAAATTTAATTTCATGCTACACTTAAAACAAAATGAACAATATGAAAAACAGAAAGAAATCAAATTTAGTTTTAAAGCTTAAAAGCTAAAACTAAAAAGAAACCATCACAACAATGTAGTCACATACAAGATTTAACACGTGTAAAAGTCCGATCAATTAATTCACACTAATGTTGTGTCATGTGTGACGATTTTGTATATTTATAATAACTCCAATGCATGTTTATTACTTCGAATGAAACAAGACCAGAAAAGTTCTCAATCATCTTCCACCGTCTTCGTTTCCGTTCATGCTCCCTCTCCCTTCTTGGTGCCTCTTATTGTTGTCTTTCTGTTAACAAGCTTAGCCGCTGCATCATCGTAAGCCTCTGCTGCCATTTTAGCTGTTGGAAACGTTCCAAGCCATATTCTTCCTTGCAAACTCGGATCCCATATCTCTGCCGACCATTTACCTGATGGCTTTTGCCTCACACCTTTGTGCTTCTCCTCCTTCTTTATCTCTTCATGCCGTGGGAATGCACAACCTTTGCAACCGGTGATACTGCAGAGAGGACAAGGGCCAGCGTCCAAAGGTTGATCAAGAGCTTCGAATGAAGCCGAGTTCGATGATGAAGTGTCGTCACCTCTCACGTTGGATATCACTTGTCTCAGAGCAGAAACCATGATAGCATGCTGTTAGATTCAGGTTATTATGGGCTTCCAACTTAAAACCAATTGGTGATTAGTGGATTGGCTCCAACCCTTTATATAGTAGTAGATTAATTCATATATTTTCGATGTGGGATGTTTCTCATCAATACCCTCCCTCACGCTCAGACATCTCTAGGTCTGAAGCGTGGACAATGTGGGAATAACATCCACAGAGGGCCCAACATCGGTATAGTAGAAGTAGTTGTAGTAAATTAGGTCAAAGGATCTTATCGCTCTGATACCATGTTAGATTCAGGTTATTATGGGCTTCCAACTTAAAACCAATTGGTGATTAGTGGATTGGCTCCAACCCTTTATATAGTAGTAGATTAATTCATATATTTTCGATGTGGGATGTTTCTCATCAATACATGCTCTTGATCCCTTGTCAAACGAGAAGGTTTCTCATCACAAGAGGGAATATTTTCTGAATTATTCATGTTATTAAAGTCGAATTTGAAAATAATTATTGCTTTGGAGAAGATTTTGAAAGCAAAATGATGAGAGAATAGGCCTTTTATATACTACACGGAAGGTGGGATCTTTGTGGTCCGATGCCAATCTAGTCAATGGTTAGACACGTAACTTGTGACATCATTATTTTGCTTTTATTGATGTAATAAAACGTTATTTCAAGAAGAAACGCGATTATGTAGTGCTTTTGATTTTTGTTTCATTTTGGGTCCTACTGGTTCCCTGTGGTTTGTTTATTTTANTTTATATACTACACGGAAGGTGGGATCTTTGTGGTCCGATGCCAATCTAGTCAATGGTTAGACACGTAACTTGTGACATCATTATTTTGCTTTTATTGATGTAATAAAACGTTATTTCAAGAAGAAACGCGATTATGTAGTGCTTTTGATTTTTGTTTCATTTTGGGTCCTACTGGTTCCCTGTGGTTTGTTTATTTTATTGTTACTTTCAAACTGAGAAAATTACACTAAGTATCACTTTTCTAGTTTAGTATTACATAATAGGTCACATTGTGCTTTCTGATGTGACGAGTGTCTTGTATATGTCCATGGAGTATTGCTTTATGATGTCATCGACAACTCTTTCTGACATTTCTGAACTCTGTGAGGCGGGGTCACCAAGTGCGTGCATTTCCATGTACTTCACAGCTAGAGGACCGCAGTCACCACCCCGGACGTTGATATAAAGATTAGGGAGACGATGGCAGCGGAAAGGGCCGAGGTCAGGAACTGGGTTTGGATTTGCAATTTTCTTCCAAGATATGGGGAAGGTTGTTGAGGACATGGCTCATTAATCGCTGCACAGTGACGTCTTTGTATAAGGTTGGTAGTGGGTCAAGGATTTCAACAAGACCAATGTCGAGCTTGATAACAAGGACAACCCAATGCTTATTGTTCCAGAGCATTGGAGTGTAGACAGTATATACATCCTTCAACAACTTCCTGCCTTGGTTGGAACACATGTCTGTGAGACGGTCCTCCCAATCTGTGTTAATGGCCAGATTAATCCTCTTTTCATTTCTTGCAGACCAGAACCAAAATGTTTAGGGAAGAAAAGAGCATTGTGGTTCTCAAGCAATTGGGAATGCCTCAGAGCTAACATGGTAATGAGAATCTCTATGTGCTGAAATAGGAATCAGGAGATACGATAAATTAGAGAGATCTCATTTTAGAATTGTAAAACATATTAAGTAATATCTTGAGAAGACACTTACTAAGGCTGATGTCCATTTCTTGGGTGTGGCGAGATCAAGCATGAAGTTTTTTGAGAACTCAAAATCTGATGGAGTGATATGGAATCTGTAGTAATATGAGCTCAATTACTTCTTGAATAATGAACAATAATGATTGTTCATTGAAATGTAGCGAGACTAAGATAGACTTACACTTTCTTGGATGATGAGAGTGTTTTGTGGAAGATCTGCCACTCGGGTTCATGAAGGGGGGCAATGAGAGTGAGGACTGGGATAGTAGGGCATTGGCAAAGGAGGCGGGCAAGAGCGTTGTCCTCATCAGAAGGTTGATGCCTGGGTTTAGTCGGAGAGTCAGTGTCTGATAGATCCACTACAGCAGAGTCTTCAATAGATCCCTAAAGAAAAACAAGTACGGTAAGTGTGATATATGTATACATTCAAAAATTAGGAAATGATTTACGAACCTTATTTGGTTTTTTGACCACCGTTTTCAGTTTGGGAGGAGTAGATGAGCTAGCGGTTGCTTTGAAAGCGTTTGGCAAAGAAGCATGTTGTGCGAAACCGCCGACATCGAAAGAGTTTTTTGGAGGAGAAATTTGTGGGGAATTTTTTGGGGTGGAAAATCGGTTTCTTGGGGAAGTTTGATTGATGGAGGAATCGTATTTTGGTGGGTTGGAGAATTGTGGGTCAGGACTGCACGGTTCGTAAATGGTTAGACCATGAAGTAGAAGTCTCTGCAAAGGGGGGCTGTTTGGGTGCTCACTCTGATCGTACACAGCTGATTTGAGTGTGGTGAAGGTGCGGCTTGGGATAGGAGATTCGTGAGGAGAGGTGTAGAAGAGTTTGTCTACGTCTGGGCTCGCTGGTTTTCCTTGGTTGGTATAGGCATGGTTGGATTGCTTGTGGTTAGTTTGACTGTGGTCAGTGGGGTCGTGGTCGTGGTTGTCTTGGATAGTGTTGGTGTGTTCAGGGTTTGTCTGGTTAGTTGGGCTATGGTCAGGGTGAGATGTTGGTTAATTTGTTTGTGATCAGAGAAGGTGTGGTCAGTGGAGGCTGATTGGTCATTGTTGAGGGAGTCGTCTGTAGGCAGAACTTCTCTTGTGTGCGATTGTTGCTGAAATTGAAGACAAGTGTTTTTAACTGTGAGTTTGTGAATTAGAAATGATGTAGGATTTTTTTTTAAAAAAATAAGAGGTCTAACCGGGATGTTTTGGGGAGCTTCAGAAGTGTCTTGATTGGGTGGTCGGTGGTCATTATTTTTTGGCTTCTTGCGAGCAAATTGGTAGTTTTTTAAGGTGTAACGCTTTCTGTTGTAAGGATGGTTACTACGCCTTACCAATTCCCATAACTGCTTGGACTCAGACTCGATGAGTGACACCTTATCTTGGAGTTGGAGAATCATCCTGGAAAGCTCGACGTTTGAGTAGGTGCAAGAAATTTTTTTGGGGAAGTAAGAACTCAGACATCGTTGTTTACGGGTAGAAGCTTCCTTTTTGATTGTGTGTTTTGGTTGGAGTTTACTTGAGCGTGGGACGGTTTGCTTCAGGTGGACAGGTTTCTTGACAAGTGTGGGAACTAATATCAGAGGCTGAGATGTATCCCCACCATGCCACATGATCTTGTCGAAATTCCGTTGTTCAGCAATAAGCTGTTCCAAATATTTAACCCGATCATCGGTGGTTTCGTCTCCCCAAACTCCCCACCCTGTTTTTGGCTCCTCCTCTGGGCCGACAATTGGTATCAGAGGCGTGACAGACAACTGAGAGATATCAAATGGAAATGAAATACCGAGGGATTAATATTTGATTGGCAACAATTAAGAGAAATAACATTGATCTGAAAAAAAAAAAACTAAGCACATATTTTAGGCAAAGAGGGACAACTTACATTAGGATCAGCCACAACTCTTTTGATGTCGTTGATATTGATGGAGAGGTGGTTTGGTATATGGCCGTGGTTTTGGTCCATGATAGTGAGTTGGTTAACGGGGGCAGGAATCTTATCTTGAAGCATTGGAATCGAAATGAACGCTACCAGCTGTAGTGTGAGTGGGAAACCCTGCAATCGATAAGAATCCTGTTTGAGAAATTCCACCATTTCGGATTCGGATTGTGGAGACCTCTCAGGTTTCATACACCTAATGGTCTTGAGAAATAACTCTCGACCCAAAGGGAATTTGAAAAAAAGTGTCAAGATGATCCACCATTTGTACATATCTCAGCGTGGGGCGAGGGGTTTGCTTGTGAGCGATAAGAACACCATCTACAATCATGATCAATGCGAGACAAATTTTCTTCCAACCAGGCATCTTACTTTGCTTCCGAAGCCTTTCTCCAATGTCGGCAATTGTGGTCATCTTATTGTTGCCAATCAACTTCTTCCATATAGGATCCAGGTGTGGGGCCCTATCATCATCATCCTCAGGAGGCTCATAACTGTCGGGAAAATCTCCACATGGTAGTCCTGTTACAGCTCCAAAATCTTGGAGACCATATCGTAGGGGTTTACCTCCAAAAGCAGTCCACAGTGTGTACTTGAGTGCGCAAAGAAGCTGTCTGGACAGAAGTGAGTGTATGAGCTTGCAAGAAACATGACATTGGCGAGCCGGTAAGTCAAAAAGCTTTCCGAAACAAGAGGCTCTTATAACTTCGAACTCTGGTGTGTCTCTCAAGACGTGGCGGATAAAAGCGAGTATGTCAGGACGAGAGTATATGTTGAGACGGTTCTCCAGGTATCTGTCTATAGCAAACAACCTTGACGGCAGTTTGGGGTCGGCTGCAATGACAAAATCAATCTCACTTTCAATTACACATGCTCCATTGGTAAAAGTTACGGATTAAAAGTCGAAACCCATTGGTTTTATTCTTAAGTGTCAAGCAAATTGGTTTTAAAAATAGAAGCTTTACACCATTTGTAAAAGTCGAAGATATCGGTAGATTGCACATTTGTGGTTGGGGTTTCTTAACTAACAGCAAAAATTGGTTTAAAAAATTCAAGCTTTAACGGAGTAGGTTTATAAAAAACAAGAATTGTCGGGGAAACGAACCTCTTTGCCGAGTAGGTTGACGGCAAGTTGCCGATTCTTCTTTAGTGGCCATGAAGATGAGAAAATTAGGAACAAAGAAGATGCTGAAGAGGATGGTCGTCGTTAATTTCACCTAGAGCACTGAATCGGAAATTAGAATCAGTGACGAATCTTCGGAGTTTAGAAAATGGGTTGAACGGGAGAAAAACGACGAGGGTGAAAGACGGGGATGGGATGACACATAGAAGGAAGATGATGGAGGAGGAGGTTGGAGAATCCAATTAGGGTTATTGTTCGAGTGGGATTAATCGATTTTAGATTTACTCGGCGGTGATTTAGTCGGCGGTATAATCCAATTAGGGTTCATTGTTTTCTGATTTGGGGGTTTTTGGATTTTGTGAGATATCAGATTTTGTTTCTCTTTTGTTTTCTCGTTTTCTAGTTAGACAACAGAGAAACGTGTTTGAGGGCAGAATAGACAATACATGGACACAATGTGTGTATCAAGCAAGTTGTGACTCTAGGTGATATTTGGAAGTGTTAATGTGTCCTATAATGTAAATTTCTCTTGAATCTAATCCACTCAATACAACTTCTTACATAAGTGAAACAAACACTTAGATCGGAGTTAGCTCAAACAATCCTATGAACTCTGCTGTGATGGTGGCGAAGTGATGCAAACTTGTTTGGAATCTCCGGGAAGATAAACAACGTCACTTTTGGGTGTGGTCATGTAAAGGTCTTCTGAGCAGCCAGTTTACTCGGTTTATCGCTTAGGCGATAAAGATTTTTTTTTTTTGGTAAAACGATAAAGCTTTGTTTTCACCTTCTTCTCCAATCACAACAACAAACTCAAAATTGAAAAATGGTTCCTTTCCATCAACAGTGGTTTCGTCTGCAGTTTTTACCACAGAAGCAGAGGTCAAAGATAGTAGTGGTTTCGCCAGATGAATCAGAAGAAAAACCAAATCATCACTACTTTTAACGATGAAAGATTCAGTTCGATAAATTAAAAAAAAAAATTGGATAAGAAACGTGGGTGAAGATGAAGTTGGTATATAACCATCTATTCATTAATTTTGACTCAATACTGACCGTGGGATCTAAGAAACATGATGAAAGATGTTTTGTGTCATTATAATTTTAATTTAATATCAGTTTATTTCTTGGAAAAAGAAGATAGATTTGGAATTTCACTTCTTCATGTATGTGTAAAGAGACAAGAAAAGTGCTCTAGTAGCACAATGTGACCTATTATGTAATACTAAACTAGAAAAGTGATACTTAGTATAATTTTCTCTAGATTCAATATGAAAAAGACACTATTTTCTAATGTCACTGTTTTGGAATTCCATCAATACCAAAGAAATGGTATATCTATTCCTCCTTTTCTTCACATGTTGTGTTGTTTATGATTATGTTTTTAACTTGGCTTGATGATTTTGTTTCTTGGAACTCCTTTTCTATCGATAATTTTCTCAGTTTGAAAGTAATAATAAAATAAACAAACCACAGGGAACCAGTAGGACCCAAAATGAAACAAAAATCAAAAGCACTACATAATCGCGTTTCTTCTTGAAATAACGTTTTATTACATCAATAAAAGCAAAATAATGATGTCACAAGTTACGTGTCTAACCATTGACTAGATTGGCATCGGACCACAAAGATCCCACCTTCCGTGTAGTATATAAANTAAAATAAACAAACCACAGGGAACCAGTAGGACCCAAAATGAAACAAAAATCAAAAGCACTACATAATCGCGTTTCTTCTTGAAATAACGTTTTATTACATCAATAAAAGCAAAATAATGATGTCACAAGTTACGTGTCTAACCATTGACTAGATTGGCATCGGACCACAAAGATCCCACCTTCCGTGTAGTATATAAAGGCCTATTCCCTCATTAGTTTGTTTTCAAAATCTTCTCCTAAGCAATAATTATTTTCAAATTCGACTTTAATAACATGAATAATTCAGAAAATATTCCCTCTAGTGATGAGAAACCTTCTCGTTTGACAAGGGATCAAGAGCATGCATATATGGTTTCTGCTCTGGGACAAGTGATATCCAACGTGAGACGTGACGACACTTCATCATCGAACTCGGTTGCATTCGAAGCTCTTTATCAACCTTTGGACGCTGGCCCTTGTCCTCTCTGCAGTATCACCGGTTGCAACGGTGCGCGTTCCCACGGCATGAAGAGGTAAAGAAGGAGAAGCACAAAGGTGTGAGGCAAAAGCCATCAGGTAAATGGTCGGCAGAGATATGGACGGGTATTTGCAAGCAACATGAGAAATCTTTATAAAGATGAAACTATATTGTACATGTGTCCACATGCACGTACACATATGTTGTCCACATGTACATCTTCAAAACTCTATCCACATGTACACAAGATCACATATATCTATGTGTACACCATGTAAACCTTGAAATCTGGAGCAATAAACATAATGAGGACTAGGTCTTCTTTCACTGTACACCATGTATCCCTAGGAACGTTACCAGCTAGCTGAGGACTCGAGTTTACATACTCCTCTACTCTCTTCCAAAAAGCTCCTAATTTCTGCTCATTACCTACTATGGGATCTTTACTAGTGTTCAACCAACCACTAATGAGGACTAGGTCTTCTTTCACTGACCACTTCCTTTTTGATAATGGTTTATCACCCCGTTAGCGGCCTCAGGATAGTCCACCTCAATTGGAGGACTGCTCTGGGAAGCTAGAAGGTTAACAAAGCCGGAAGAGTCAACGAAAAAAGAATCCATTTTCGAAGAGGTTTTGGGTTTTCGTTATTTTAAGCTAATGTGATTTTTAAGTTCATTCAAAGTATATTTAAAGTATGTTTTGCTTTAATGAGAGAGAACCATTAAAGACTAACTAGCTACCAAATTTAATTTCTCATCTACCGGTTCAGTACAACAAGCATTCAAGACACATCAAATCGATAACCTATAAACACAACATTCATAACAGCAACCAACCCAACCCGCGTGGTTTAAATTTAAAGTTTAGTTTACTTTATCTTACCAACTAGAGGACTAGTTGGGTTTATTTAACNGAGAACCATTAAAGACTAACTAGCTACCAAATTTAATTTCTCATCTACCGGTTCAGTACAACAAGCATTCAAGACACATCAAATCGATAACCTATAAACACAACATTCATAACAGCAACCAACCCAACCCGCGTGGTTTAAATTTAAAGTTTAGTTTACTTTATCTTACCAACTAGAGGACTAGTTGGGTTTATTTAACTTTAACTTAAGATAATAATAACTATCTAGTTCTGTTCAGTTTTAGTTTAGTTTACTTTATCTTACCAAGCAAATACATTCAAGCAATTAAATTGAAACCAATTTTAAAATTCTTAACTTACCATCAGGTTAACCGAAGCACATCCTCTCCAAGCCTCCCAGCCTCACAGTGAGATATTCGACTTGTCCAGAAAGGGTCTTAACCTGTTCCTGGACATTCACATAACAACAAGATATGTGATTATAAAATTTTGCTCTTTATAAAACAAGCAACTATAATAATTTGGGAGTTAAGTTCTAGCTCTTACCTCCAAAAACTCAATCTGTTTGGTGATAGTGGAGACGCCCTTGATCACCTCCTCAGCCTCGTGCACCCGCTTACTCATCTTCTCGAACTCCTCTTGGACAGCAACAACCCACGGCTGGCGATAATGTAAACCATTATCCTAGTTTACAACATAAAAACAAAACAAGTTAAACCATTATTTGTATAAAATCTTAACTAAAAAAATATGGACATTACCTCGTAATTTAGACAAGTAAAGAATCGCTTCCCAGGAACAGTATCGTACTCTTCCTCCCCTCGGACCTCGTTGATGATTCTTCCACCACATGCACATCTTGTAGGAATCCCGTATTCGGAATCAACCATGAATCCTACCATGTCAATGTACTCCTTCTGCCTCTTTGTGTCTCTTCTCTCTTCTTGAGGATCCATCTGCAAAAAGACAATTGTCAAAATCAGAACCCCTAAGTCGAAACACTAACTCGATCACAAACCCTAAGTCTAAACGCATCCAAATCGAACCCGCATAAGTTTTATAAACACTACACGAAACCCACATGTCATTTATACAACCCTAGCCCAAAACCCCCAAATCGATTTAGAACCCTAAAATAGAAAACCCTAACTCGATTACGAATCACGCAAAACGAATCAGAAATCGGACCATCAACTTGATTTAAAACCACTAAACGAAACCCCCTTCTCGATTAAACAACCGTTGATCAAAAACCCCAAATCAATTTTCTTCCCCGAGAACACAATCAAACCAAAACAACCGTGTTTAAACATGGTTCGACTAGAATCTCACCTGAGGTGGTTGAGGAGAAAGTTCGCCTTCGATTCTATGGATTTCGCCGTCGATTTGATGGATTTCGCCGTCGCTATCGTAATCGCCTCTGGAACCCTAGCTTTCGAGAGAGAGACGAAAATGAGACAGAAATCAAAAAGACCCTCTTTCCCTCGTGTTGAACGCGTCTTCGAGAGGTCGAATGGGAGAATGACGCGTGTCTTGAACCCGTATCATACGGGTTTACTCGCGTGAAACGGATCACGAAAATAACCCAATTTTTAATTATATTTTCGCCTCTCGGCCCGGTGAACCTCGGCCCATGATCCGCATGTGATCCCTTGATGCACATGGTCTAAGGTATTTAAATATGTGATCCCATGCTTGTACTGAATCAAATTTTGATATCATTCTCTAGAACATGAAATAAGAGGTACAATAAAACATATGTTCATTCTTTGTCTTCCACGATTATAGTTTTTTTTTTGCAAGCTCATGATTATCTTATTACAAATAATAATTTCAATACACCCAACTTTAATCACATGCAACACTTAAAACATGTTGGACCAAAAAAACACTTCAAACACGATGAAGAATACGAAAAATAGACAAACCAAATTTACTTATAAAGCTAAAACTAAAAAAATCAAACCACAATGTAGTAGCATACAATAGTTAACACAAGTAATTAAAAAACCTGATCAAAGAAGTAAATGATATCTGTGACGATTTTGTATACTATACTAGGATCGGCCCGCCCTACGGGCGGGATATGATTTACATATGATGTATAGGTCTATATTATCATGTTTTTTTGGCATGTTTTATGTTAGGATTTGAAAAAATAATGTATAATAATATTTATCGATGTTAATATGTTTGGGAATGGAGAAATTATGTTTTAGCTCTTATTGGTAGTGTGTTCGATTTGATTTAGAACTAATATGTGTTAATGTTGTTTGCTTGACAAAATGATCTGTGCGAGGAAATGATTACCGGAGATCAATCGCATGAAAAATTAGTTGTGGTGTGAAGGAGGTTGTATGCTTTCAAATTAATATATGTGTTAATTTTGTTTAATCCTTACAAAATAATAGAAAAATAATAAATTTTAAATAATTAAATAGGGGTAAACGGAACATTTAACATTTTTTTAATTAGTGTGCAAAAATTAGAAAGACGTCTAATCTGAAAATGTTGAATATATATAATACTGGTGTATTTTTTTATGTGTGAGTAAAGTTTCAATTAGAAAAACTGGTCGGCTAATATTATAATATAACAACTCCGTGAATTTCATTTTGTGGTTGTTTATTTGTCTTGTTAAAATAATTTAGTTTATGGCTAACTGTTAATATATTTTATGGAATTAATAAATGAAATACTTTTTCTAGTGACATTAAAAAAACAGAAGTATAATAAATATGATGATATTTTAATAATATCATAAAATATATTAACTTTTTTATATAAAAATGTTTTGTAATAATTAGATATTATGTTTTACATTGTGGAAAAAATACATATATGAATATTGAATAGTAATATCTCATTTTTAACTCATAATACTTAAGTTGACACATACAACTTTACGTGGCTATAAAACAGGGATCTCTAATTTATTGTCTTAACGTAAATACTCACAACGGCTATTGCACAATTATAGTAACATTGTATAGATTTATTATCAGAATCAACAATTCAATCACAGATTTTCAGTGGACTTTTAAAAACCTATGCATAAACATAAAATTAACTAAATACATGTGTTATTGGTCTGATAGAGATACGAACATTCTGATTGGAGATATGTAATATCAGGGTAATTATTAAGCCCAGCGCAATTCCCTTATCCATATCAAACTTAAAAATGAATCCTCCTTCATAGTATCCACGAAACATTTAAACTGGAGATAGAGTACGATGAACAACTAAAATGCCAATACTAAAGCGCAATCATTTTTGAAAACATAGTACCGAAACAATAAATTTCTCAAATTAGAAAAAAATGACAGCTTAACAAATCACGAAGCCGTGCCACCACCTCACTTGATCGATACACCACTGATCCTTACAGTTTCTGGCTTAAGAGGTATACTGTTACCAGCTTCCTGTTACAGACGTAACAGTGTACGAACATTAGTCTTACAATGTCGTTTACACCATTGAGATGCGTGCATTCCTCCTCACAAATAATGTGTGTGATAGTGAAGGGCTGGCGTCTCGCCGTAAAATCATAAGACGTCAATCTGACGTGGAAAGAATATGTCTTCCCTTCAATGTATTTGATTAACGGAGGCACTGGAGAATCTTCAGGGTTCTCATATTTTTCAACCTAGGAAAGACAATGTGCCAATGTTACACAGAGGCATATGNGCATTCCTCCTCACAAATAATGTGTGTGATAGTGAAGGGCTGGCGTCTCGCCGTAAAATCATAAGACGTCAATCTGACGTGGAAAGAATATGTCTTCCCTTCAATGTATTTGATTAACGGAGGCACTGGAGAATCTTCAGGGTTCTCATATTTTTCAACCTAGGAAAGACAATGTGCCAATGTTACACAGAGGCATATGTTTAAGTTATAAGTGACATAATTCTTAACTCACCAGCATCTGGTCGACATCACGTGCTTCAAGACTAAGCAGCTTTGTCATCACACCATCAAAGAAAATAAAGACACCTTCAGCAGTGTCATCAGCGATGCCAAGCGTTACTCGATAACTGAGAAGATAAGCACACTACATCGTTACTGTATGTACATATATATCAAATTATACAGCTGCAGGATTCTATGTTCCATACCATAAATCACCATCAGCATGAGGCTTGTTGCATCTGACACATGCAAAACCAGGTACAGTGAGATGGAGTTCTCTGCTGCATTTTCTGCAACCAACATAACACCAACCCTTATGGACGTCGACTCCAGTAATTCTCCCGGTGATCATGAATTCAATCTCCTATATGTTATATAGTCTATCCTTAGCAACCAACACACCATGAAAGACATGTGAATTGAGAGTGACTAATTAACCTCAGCGAGAGCAATGATGGCAAATTTGTTAACCTTAGCTATGGTTAAAGGCTCGACATTTGTAGCATGTGTCAAGAGTGGTGCCGGCGCTAGAAGACCAGTTCCTCTGATGATCAAGCTATGTACATAGATACAAACGATGAGCATTAGGTCTTAATATACGAAGAGAGCTTGACATTTGTACATCTAGAAATTAATCCAGAGTAATGGTCGAGCCCTGCTCTAATCAGCAAATTCGTCAGTGCATATAAGGATGAAAAAAAAACTAAATACTTGGAAACGTTTTATTTTTTAATAAATTCAGGAAGAGTCGGAATCATACACATCAGAACAAAAAGCCATTATCATAAGAACAAAGACACAGCACTTGATTGCAAGAGGGGAAACTTATATCAATCCAGATATAATACTCAGTTTCATACACACGGGGACCAGTACACACAATCTCAATAAGATACGACATAGAATAAAAAAAATCTTAAAAAAACGAAACAGTTATTTGTTTCAGATTCATATACTCGGAGATCAACACACACAATCAATAGAAGCTAGAAAAGTGAACGGTTTTCTATTTCAGATTCATATAGTCGGAGATCAACACACAAAATCAATAAAACCTACATGATTGAATCATTTTTTTTTCAACAAAAAATAGAGATTGATAAAGTTAATCCATGATATCTAGATAAAGACAAAGAAGGAACGATCTTTTTGATTTCGGTAAACCCCAATAAAAAATTTGTTAAAAAAAAAAAATCTTACCTTAACGTCAATCATCAACATATCAAGAAATGACATTTGAACACCCCGCCTGACATTTCTGGCCTCCCAAAAGCGGAGGAGCCTAGCCTCCATGGCGGAAGTACACTTTCCTGTTTTAAGAACAGTGAACAACAATCTATTAGCCATGATTAGAAGTGAAAAAAAAAGCTTTATGAGATTTGGTAACTAAAAGGGATCAAGGAGATGAATAGTAACAGATTTTATACACACCCAGTGAACAGAGCATTGATGTAGACATAGTGGGATATGAAGGAGATGAAGATTTAGAGCAGACGGCTAGAGAATCAGAGGGGAATGCAAAAAGTTTTTTGTCGGAGAAAGAATGACTTCGACATTGTCGTGACCAATAAACCTATTAGGTTTAGGGGTGAGTTTTGGGCCATATCAGTTTAAGCCCACGAAGAAACAGAATTAGACGCAACGAATGGAATGACGACACGTGGACTTATCTATGTGGCGCTGACGTGGCATGCTTTAGAGGAGAGATTACACTCTTTTATATAATAGACTAGGGCCGGCCCGCCCTACGGGCGGGATATACTTCACCTATGATTTAAGTTATTATATTTTATATAATTTTATTGTTTTTTTTGTTTTAGATTCACATTTTCAAAAATTGTGTAAGATAAATTATTCTATTAATTTAAATTGATAGTTGGTTTGTTCGTAAGTAACTTTGTTTTAACTTTTTGATTCTGAGTTTGTATTTAACAACTAACTAATGTATATGACTCTTTTTGAAGTTCTCACCAGCCGTAAGACTTTTGCATAATTTTTCAAAAAAGAAAATTTCAATTTTGATGAGAAACTGGCAATCAAAACATTAACCATCTAGGTCTTATTTATTAAATTTATTGTTGGGTTATACTTGGTCTTGTTAAAATAAATTCTATTGTTTGTTATGAACAAATATTAGCATCTCTTGACCATTTATTGCTTGATCTTAACGCTTAAACATAGGATCTTAATTCTTACTCTTAAACATAATTGTTTATATGTTCTATTCGAGATCAGCTACCAATATGTTTTTGTTGTCAAGATTTAAAGGATCCACTGTTAGAAATTGGTACTATTTATATATTCATTACTGAATTACCAAAAATTTTACATAGTTTGCAGAGATTTTAAATCTGTTTATGTAGCATAAACTATGTCTTTATTTTGCACATTTATGTATATTTTTATTAGTAAAATATTTCTGTAAAGAATTTTCATTTTTAGTCATTTTAGTGTTTTAAATTTTATTTATATAGGTAAGAAAAATATTTACAACCAAATCAATTGGAATAAATCTCTTATAAGTAGTTCAGTTTATAAGTAGTTCAGTTTATAAGTAGTGTTCTAAAAATATTTGGTAATTTTAAAATTAAATGTTTCGGTTATGTTTGATATTTTTGGCTCTAGAGATAAATAAACCCTTCAGCATTAGTATTTTTTTTTGTAAAATTTATAATGCTATTCCTCTGACCTGTTGTTTGCATCATCTTGTTTTACATGACTGGATTTGAATTCTCAAGTCTCTCATTTGCTTAGCCCTTCATGTGTATGACAATTTTCTTTGTTTCAGAGCCGTATGTGAAGCTAATTCGGCTCAAAACTGGGCAATGTCATGAGTTAAAGATATCGGTATAGAGAGGTTTTAATAGTTGATATCATCTACGTACTCTTCTAGTAGAACATATATGCCGAGCACATTTTCCCAGCATCATTAACTACATGATATTGTTTCCTAATACAGATTTCATTAATTAATAACAAACCAATAAGATGAAATCATTGTATTAAAATGGGTTTTCCCAGAATCATTAACTGCATTATATTGTTTCATAATACAGATTTCATTAATTAATGAACTTAAATATTAATGGCAGTCAACACTTAAGAAAATCAAGGAGATCTTAAAAAAAAAATGTAAGTATACATACACTGTTGGTCCATCAACATATTTGAGAAGAAATGATCTGAAACAGCCTCTTTCGATGTTTCATACTTAAATCATCGGTGAAGGAAATCTCTGAGGCATGGGCTGGTGGAGGTACTGCTTTCTTTCTCCCTCTTTGGACCTTTCTTGCAGGAGCTTTTAGGACACCACTTTTATCTTTTCTTGCCCCATCAGTTGGATCATCCTCGATATCTATTACCTCAGGAGCCACGCTATGCATATTTTCTTGGACTGCTTTCTGGATTTTCATTTTCTTTGCAGCATTTAAATATTTCGCACACGTGCTGCTGTTCTGTCTATCCACATCTTGTGATGCAATCTGTTGGCGCAAGAGCCAACATGCTACTGAGTTTGGCATATGTGCCATCGCACGATCATGCTGTCTCTTTGAACCCCTGGCTTCGAGATGTTTAGCCTTATCTGGAGTTGGCAGAGAAAAGTTTTGACAAAGGGCTTTATTGACCACATCAAAAGATTCAGCGATGGATCTCTCTTGATATGGGATGCACTCATTTCCTTGATGAATATCTTGCTGTAAAGAACTGTATCCAGAAATGCTGCTTCTTTGACATGTACCTGCAGTCCCATTCAAAGTCCTGGAAACAGATTCCATATACAGATTTGTTGCCGGAGTTTGTGATTGAGGATGAGGTCGAAGCCCAGACGATGACATGCTGGCAGCTACCATCTGATTCAAGTGAGTAAAACTTTTAGGAGTTCCAGGTTGCTCGTTCATCAAAGGTATGCAAGGTTGCTGACCTTACATTGATATATTTCCTCTTCGTCAGTAAGAGATCACGAGATAGATTAACCAAAGAACGTTTGTTCGAGAAAAGCTGTTGTTAGAAAGAATAAGAAACAAACCATAGCAAATAAAAAATTAGCAACTCATTTAAGCACACTTCAAGTTGGCTTGGGAAAGCTACACTTACTGTCCTTCCCAGCTATCTTTGGTAACTGCCTTCATCTTTCTGTAAGTTTCCGACTGCAATATGACATTATAAGCTTAAATCAATATATAATTTTCGTAGCTCTTGAAATAACTGAAAGCTTCATTGAATTCCTTACTTCTTTATCTCCTTTTGTCCCTTTGAAGAGGTATGGATCAGCAGTAAGGTCCAGAAAAAGTATCTTTTCACCTGATCACATTGGTACCATGATAATTGGTAGATAAGTATTAGATAGGATCTCATGGTTCACATTACACAGTATTAATAAACCAGAAGCTCACTTGTGTTGATTCTTGAAAGAGTAAAGTCGATTAAGGATATCTGTACTCCAAAAGTTTTGATGGAAACTTGCTTCCCTTCGACAGTAAAAGGCAGAGTACTCGAGTTAGAAGAATGTTTCCCCTGAAAAAGAGACAAAAATTATCAGTCGAGAGAACCATACTAAGTAGTAAACTATAGCAAATTAAAGGCTAGGCATACCAGTGCAGATCTCTGTGCTCTCGAACACAGAAGCAGCTTCAGAAACAGCCAGGCCAGTGGTGACCTTACATGTGAAATGCATGCTATTGACCAGAATCAAAATTCATTTACACAATCTGTTTACACGAAACAGAGCCTATAGCTTACCTGAACCAATAAGCTCCGTGCTTCATCAAAGTTCAAAAGAACGAAGCTTTCAAGGTATTTGCCTTCATGTTCCAGAACAAACATTACATAACACTTGAAGCAAGAACTACACGGTAAATAAATGCTAGTTTCTACATTAACAGACCGTTATGAAATCTAGCAAAGTGAAAAGAATCTGACCTGTTTCTCCGGAAAATCTGGGTGATCATTCTCGGATCCATTTTTGGCATCCCATTCTTCCCATGCTTTTACCATTATAGGGTCAAAGGGACCTTGGCACACTTTTATACTGTAAAATAATCATGAGCACAAATTTGTGAAATGATGCACAAAAGTTCTGTAGAAGATTTATAACAGAAAGTCAAATCTCCCAGAAAAAGTAGAAAGGATATCAAGTTCACATGTTGATACAGAGTAGACATGAGAGAGAACAAAGATCACTTTTTTCAATGCCGTTTAATATAAAAAAGAAAAGTATGATTTGGAAAGATAACTAATATGGCGATTACCAGCTAATGACAAATACTCAATTTATTGAAAGACTCCAACTGGAATTATAAGACACATGAGGTATGCAGAAAAGTTCATCATCACCAAAATTTTTCAATTTCAAGCAAATCTTTGAACTTTCTATAAGGAACCCAGAGCTATAACATCTGAACAACTCGAAAGCTTAGACATGAACAAACCTCAAGAGTCAGACGATCATGTCTCCAAAGACATAACACTTTGGAAGAAGATTTTCAGCAATAATTTTGGTAGTTCAAAACAATTAATCATCTCTAAGAAATCGAGAAGAGTAAAAAAATAAAAAAAGATAAGAAACAGACTATCTTATTATATATCTCAGTATCAATAAACAATGAGAACTCTACCGGAATGATCAAACACAGATCTAAAAGAAGAAAAATAAAAGTAGAAACAAACTTACAGTCACGTCGGCCAAGAGCATAGGTGGGTGCTTCAAGTCAGAAGAAAACTTTTGAATTAGCCATAACAACACGATTCAGTCTATTGCGAGAGATAGAAATAGCGGATGAGCTCGATATGAGAAGTACCACATATCTATACAGATCCGATACCGTCCCTGAGAGATGAACGCTGAATTGAAGTCGTCGTAGTGGGCGATTGAATAAAAAGAAGTTAAGACGAACAATAACTCCGCCTGTTTCATACATGGAGAAAGCAAATCAAGCATCACTCGTCGACGGCACAGGAAAGAGAGAGACGACCGTAAGCCGCGATCAAGAGATTAGGGTTAGAGCGAGGCGCGTCGAAAGCGTGATAAAGGCCAAAACAACACAATAAAGCCGCGTTTAATGAAACACGTGGACTTTCTGGTGACGTGGACTTTCTGAGCTGTCATCCGACGTGGCATCCCTTAGAAGAAGAGATGCTTTACTTTATATAACAGATTTCCACTGTATGTTTACTTCGATTGAAAACACGACCAAATTTTTTTTCTTAATCATCTTCCCACCGTCGTCTTCTCGGTGTATGGATGGTTCCTCTCCGTTCATTGTGCCACTTCTTTCTGCCTTTCTTTTGACAAGCTTTGGCGCCGCCGCATCATTTTGGTACATCATTTTAAAAATAGTAATTTCAGTTTGTTATCTTATTACAAATAATGATTTCAAACAATACAGCAAAATTTAATCAAATACGAAAAGAAAATTTAAATTTTAGTAAAGCTAAAACAATAAAGAATAACAATGTAGTAACACAATATTTAACACATGTAAGAATCTGATCAATGAAATAAATGATATGTGTGACGATTTTGTGTACTATAAGTCCACTGCATGTTTACTTCGAGTGAGAAGTTGGTTCCTTTCCGTTCATTTTGCCACTTGTTGATGTCTTTCTTTTGACAAGCTTAGCCTCCTCATCATCGTAAGCCTCCGCAGCCATTTCAGCTGTTGGAAACGTTCCAAGCCATTTCCTTCTTTGCAAACTCGGATCCCATATCTCCGCACACCATTTACCTGATGGTTTATGAAAAAAAAGTAACGTGTTGGAACATAGTTGACCTGATGGCTTATGCATGGAAATACATAAATAAATCTATTCTTTTTTTAAAAAATAAATCTATTCTATTAAAACAATATCATATAATATATTGATAAATATAATGTCCAACTATTTTATTTCTTTTATTTAGTGAGCCAGAATTTTTTTTCTTTATTTTACGACACTAAAATTTCTTTCTAACTATAAAAAAAATCCAAACTTAAAAATTAAATTTCACAAAAAAATAAAATAAAAGATATACCCACCTTTGAAATTGCGGATCAGAATCTAAATCTAGTTAGCTAGTTAAAACAAATACTCAAACCTGTTGGAACAGTTTTTTTTTAATTACTACTAGAGTTTCACCCGCACATCCGTGCAGATATATTTTTCATTTTATAAATATATAACTAAATTTTTAAAGATATGATTTATATTTTAGTTTTAATTATAATAATATCTAATAACGAAATAAAGAAATACTTATTTTATAAAAAGAAATTTTAAAATTTTTGGTAAGATCTTGTTAGATTTTTTCAACAGATTTTGTTATATTTAAATTTATTTATTATTTATATCCTTATTAATTATTAAGATATTTTGAAAATAATATATACTTGACTGGTTAATGTAACAATCAAATATGTCAAATTAAATAATTAATGATATAGTTCAATATGACTTTTAAATAGTACATAAATTTGGTACTTTTCTTTAAATAGAGAAGATGCAAGTTCTGGACTAAAGACCATAATTCCGCATAAGTCTAAAGTCAATCTCTTTTGAAAATTATATTGTAAGGAATAACATTTTGTATCAAAAATGGTTTATATTAGGGACACAGGAGAACCGGCCCCATTTCACTACCAGTAGACCACCAACAATTTGGTTATGTTCCAAATTTAAGCAAAAAAAAAAAAACAAAACAATTTGGTTATGTTGGAATATAATTATAGGAATATAAATCTACCTGATGGCTTTTTCCTCACACCTTTGTGCTTCTTCTCTTTCGCCATCTCTTTATGCCGTGGGAATGCGCAACCTAAGCAACCGGTAATACTGCAGAGAGGACAAGGACCAGCGTCTAAAGGTTGATGAAGAGATTCAAATGCAACCGAGTTAGATGATGAAGTACTGTTACCTCGGTCGTTTGATATCACTTGTCGTAAAGCAGAAACCATGATCACATGCTCTTGATCTCTTGTCAAACGAGGAGGTTTGCGATCGCAAGAGGGAATATTTTCTGGATTAACCATTTTCTTGGAGTCCTGAAAATAACTTATCGCTCACGGAAAAGGATCCAATGTGTTAATGTTTGAAAACAAAAGATATGCCTCTTTATATAGTAGAAAGAGGGTGGAATCTTTGTGGAGAGCCCTTTGCCAATCTTATCAATGTTTAAACGCGGGACATGCATGAACTTGTATGACTTCCTTTTCAGATATTTATATCTGCAGTAAACGCGATTTCTGGAAGAAACGCGATTACTAAATTTATTCGACCCACTTACTAATTATAGTATTGACTTTATTTTGTGGTCACCTTTTTATATAAACATATACTGTAGTGTACCGAGTTAGCCAGTACAGTTTATGTAACATGTCTTGTCGCATCCTGACATTAAAGCGCTTACACATCTGTATTATTTTGTCGCAATGTTTAAAAGTCGGTTTTCGTTTGTAACAGTAGTATACTTCCATTATTATATGTCAACACAATTTATTTACATGCGCGTTCATATTTTCAATGCTGAATGTGTGTTCAAACTTTTCAATGGTCAAGGATCATTGCATTGTTTTCTTTGCAGTCTATTACACCAGCAGTCACGAGGCATTGATTAATATTTGGGACAAAATTAAAATTTTCTGATATTTGGTGTAAAAATATGAGGAGACAGGTTGGGTGACCAGTATATTGGGGGAAAATGGGAAGGAATCTAAAGGTATCTTTTATTTAGTTGGATTTATATAAAACCAAAAGTGTAAGGGCATGTTCAAAGGGAGAACACTTTAGGGTGTGCTTAGAGTGAAAATATTAGTAAAATAATGTATTTTGCTTAAGAACATGGGAACTAGTCAAAGGAAGATCACTTTGTTTATGGGTGTGCTTAAAATTAAAAAATTAGAAAATAATGAGAGAAGAAAATTTATACTAAAATTGATGTGAAAATTTTTAAAAACACAAAATACAATCAAAATTAAACATAAAAACTTTTTATTTAATTAAACATACAAACATATTATTTAATTATTATTTAATTATTATTTAACTAAACATACAAACATTTTATTTAATTAATACAACTTTTAATGTCCAAATTTATTCCATATATTCTCAATCAAATCCTCTTTTAATTGGCGATGTGCTTGTCTATCACGAATTCTTGTGTGACCCTCGCCGAAACCCTCGATATTTGAAGCCCTGGTTACTGAAAATGAACGAGACGGAGTAGTTCCGGTTTCATTTTCTTGTTCGAATTCGTGCTCGTCATAGAGAGAGTATGAATCTCGTTCATCTTCAACAATCATGTTGTGGAGTATGAGACATGCTCTCATAATATATGCAATTTTACCTTTCGCCCATAAAAGAGATGGATTTTTAATCATCGCGAATCTAGATTGGAGGACTCCAAATGCACGCTCAACATCTTTTCGTACACCTTCTTGATGTTGTGCAAACAAACGATGTTTCGGGTGTTGTGGTCGTGGGATGGATTTAACAAATGTCGCCCATTCGGGGTAAATACCATCCGTTAGATAGTAACCCAATTTATACTCTCTTCCGTTGACATTGTACTTGAGTACGGGAGCTCGACCGTGAATTATGTCATTAAATACTGGTGATTGGTCAAGTACATTTAAATCATTAGAAGTACCTGGCGCTCCAAAAAATGCGTGCCATATCCAGAGATCTTGTGAAGCCACCGCCTCCAAAACAATCGTTGGTTTCTCGGTGCCTCGTGAATACATTCCTTTCCAAGCGGTTGGGCAATTCTTCCATTTCCAATGCATACAGTCGATGCTTCCAACCATCCCGGGAAAACCCCGTAGTTCCCCATAAAAGAGTAGCCTTCGAAGATCATCTTCTGTGGGTCGGCGTAGATATTCATCGCCAAACAAGTCAACTATTCCGACGACAAAATGTTCCAAACATTCACGAGCCGTTGTTCCGCCAATACGTATATATTCGTCAACACCATCCGCCGCACCCCCATATGCTAATAGTCGAATAGCTGCAGTACATTGTTGTAGCGGTGATACACCATCCCGGAAGGTTGCATCTTTTTTTGGTCGAAAATATGGAACTTCTGCAGTGAGACGGTTGACAATACGCAAGAATAATGACTTGTTCATTCGAAAACGTCTGCGAAATAACTTCGCGGGGTAAGTCGGATTATCACTAAAATAATCGTTCCATAACCGATTGTGACCTTCTTCCCGTTTTCTATCGATATAGATATGGGTTTTCTTCTCGGATGGAATTTCCTCTGCAGTAGCTTCTAATGCTTCATCGTATTGGTCTTGAAAAAATTGATCGAAACTATCATCATCATTAGCGTAATGGTAGTGAAAATTGTTGGAAGAAGATGCCATGAAGAAAATATTATTAAGATGAGAAAGGAATAAGTGAGAGAAGAGAATTGTATGTTCATTTTGAGAGAAGAGAGTTGTATTTATAGAAATTATACATGTACCTACTTGACCAGTCCAAAAAACATGTGAAACTTGATGTTACTACAATCCAAAAACATGTAACTACTTCATACAAGTCCAAACACATGTAACTACTTCCTACCAGTCCAAACACATGTGACAATTCACGTACATCAGTTCACAAAATAGACTAGTTAATCCGACAGTTCTGATATTATAGTAGACAATTTGGGCCTCCTAAACTAACATGATTATGGCCACTGCCACTGCTAACACAATGCAGCAAACACATACAATGTGAAACAATGGCTTCTTCTCACCCAACTCAGCGACAAGCCTCTCCACGTTGACCAACCTCTGATCTGAAAGCCTCTCCAGGTGCACCAACCTCTGGTCTGCAAGGCTTTGTTTGTCCTTGAGCTGCATCAGTTGTGTTGCAAAATCCGGTTCAGCTTGAGCCTCGTCTTCAACCTCAGCCAGACCAAGTAGCAGATTGTAGTAACTGCTATCAGCCTCATCTTCAGAACTGTAGTCCAAGGGGCTGTTGATGCCGTAGTCGTAGACTGAGTCAAGTCCCATGTCTTCTTCAACCTGAAACCAAATAAACAAGCCAAATAAACAAGTCAAAATCATACGTATCAGAACCTATAACATTCTCAAGCAGTTATAATAACAACAACCATTGATAACAACAACAATTGAGGACCAAGCAGTCAGTGTCAATCTCAAGCAGAACCTATAATTTCAATATTCTCAAGCAGTTAATCCTCATTCTGCCAAATTAAAGTCCAAAACCAAGACTTAATTTCTTTCAAATATACACACTTGTTAATTTACAGACTTAATTTCTTTCAAATATACAAACTAGTAAAGAATAACAAGGGTTTGGTATCTATTCATGTGATCGTATGTGTTTGGTCTATTTACAGAATTATACAAGGGTTGAGTATAATATACTTTATATTATAATTGATAGGGAATGAGTCACAAGCTTATAATAGCAAATATTGTCAGAAGGAAGACTGAGCATACGGATTCATAAAGCATAGCATACAGATTCATAAATAAACATAAAACAGACAATTCATACTGGCTTAAATAGTTCACGCATTAGACTTTTTTTAATGAATTTTTCATCTTCATCAAGAGTGTCTTTGCGGGCAATGAGGGTGTCTAGAAGTGACAACTTTTGGAGTTCTTTCTTAGCATCCAACTCTTTCTGTTTGACTTCCCATATCTGACTAATGCTTGCAGATGGTGCATCCTTCTCTTTCCCATTGTTCCTTAACCTTTTCATGGCCTTTATACCAGGAGGCCTGCTCTCATGCTCACCAACTACAGATTCCGTAGATGGTGCTGCAGCATCGGCTTTTCTCTTGTTAGAGCTGGTTGTCTTCGGTGTAGGGTTCATAGGTGTGTGGTCGCACCATTTCTGTTCAAAGCGCAGGACATTCCACGCATACTCCAAACCAAAATTCTTCTTATACAGCAAATGGAAGAGTTTGTGAGCATTCTGCAGAACGTCCAAATCATTCTGGCCACTACCTTGCTCACCCCTCGCATCTGCATAAGTTCCACAGAACCTGCTCACTTCTCGAGAAATCTTTTGCCATCGTTGTCTACAATTCTCTCCGTTTCTTGGCTCAGCACCATCAAGTACATGAGTACTTGATGAGTAATAATCGCCTATACGCTTCCAAAAGCACCCACCCCTTTGGTCATTCCCAACAATGGAATCCTTCGAAGTGTTCAACCAGCCGCTTATTAGGACTAAGTCATCTTGTTGGGACCATACCCTTCTCTCCCTACGCTCTTCTGGTGTCTCTTCTGCTTGAGAAGAAGGTTGACTCGCCTGGGAACTCGGTCGTGGACTAAGAAAAGGGGTTTGGGTTTGAGCAGAGGAGAAGTTTAAACTAGCAGAGAATCTATCATAAGGGAAGTTTTGAAGACTAAAGTATGATTGAGACTGACTAGGGTTATTGTTTGAATCCATAGTTTTATGAATTCATACGAAGAAGAAGATGATGAAGAGAGACTGAGTTCACAATCTCGGGTTTAAATGGGCGTAGTTGTAGTTAATTCTAACCTAATAACTATTACCTACTTCAATCAAGTCACACGCTTTAATATCAGTTTATAGTTTTCTACTTTCTCAAATTTTGGTTGGTGAGCTTTAATATCAGTTTATAGTTTTCTACTTTCTCAAATTTTACTAAAACAATCAAAGTCAATAGTTTTCTACTTTCTCAAATTTTGGTTGCTGAGCTTTAACATTAACTAGTTTCTATTCATGGCTACGCTCAAAGAAGAAAAGAGCTAGATAGCTACTGGTGTGCCAATATTAATGACAACACACATTCTTATATGAAATGAATTAGGTAAAGCAAATGGTGTTGGTGAGCTTTAAATATCAGTTTATAGTTTATCAAGTTTACAATATCATTTAAGTCAGAGTATTGTTGGTAAGCTTTAATATCAGTTTATAGTTTTCGAAACTAAACCAATGAAACTAGGAAACAAATTGGTAACCTACTAGTTAAATATCCAAACATAGCTAACTAAACTAATCAACTAAACACAACAAACAGACACGCAAGAAAAGCAATCTAAACACAACAAACACTCAATTCAAGCATCGACCATTTAATTAACAGAGGACTAACCTTTTACTTTCGCTAAAAGCTTGTTTGTTGTTGCTTATCTGCTTGAACTATCAGCTT